TAATGCAACTACAAGTCTCAACTTGTCTAAGGTAATGTGTTGAGCACATTTATTGGAGTCACTGTTATGACTTCAGATGTGTGGGTTAAAGGAAGAATCACGCGGATATACATCATGAAATCTTAATCATGAAATACGTGGTTTAGAATCGTACAGCATAAGAGTCACCTGTTAGAAAGTTTTGTTTTTTGAGAATTACTAAGTCTTAATGTCACACCCAAAAAGTATTATAAAATACAAGAGAGGGTTTAGGAAATCCCAAGGTAAAATAGAAAGAGTAAAGTTTGCCATGAAAGAGGTTTTAAATGGGATGTCAGTTCTGAAAGCTGCCAAAAAAACAAACTTATCTGAAAGTTTTTTGAGGCGTAGGATTGCTGGGGATATTTTGTTAGAGAGTAGAAATGGCCCAAGGCCTGTTTTTAGTGCAAAAGAGGAAGAGGAAAAGGCTACATGGTTGGCTGAAATGTCTAGAAGAGGTATGGGTTTAGGTATGGCAGACTTTTTAAAATTTGTTTGTGGTATTTTAAAGAAAGACAAACGGAAGAATAACTTTAAAAATGATCGCCCAAGTTATACATGGTATTACAGATTTATGGCACGTAATGCTCATTTAGTTGAGATAAGAATAGAGTCATCTTTGGAAAGTTCAAGGGCTAAAGTTACCTCTACAGAACTTGATAAGTGGTTCTCTAATTATTACAAGTTTGTTTCTCAGCTTCATCTGCTGGACAAACCAAAATGAGTCTACAATGCAGATGAGTCAGGGTTTTCTATGAGGAGTAAGGCTGGATCTGTGATTGGGCCAACAAAGTCAGAATACCTAAGGAACTTGCCACATTTGAGTGGCAACAGTAAGAAGAGGTTGACTGCCATGTTCTGTGGTAATGCTGAGGGTGATATCATCCCACCATTTTTGGTATACCCTAGTCCTCAGCCTTCAGCATATGACCCTTTGATTAACAGCAGGAAAGGTAGTCATAGAGTATACTGACAAAGGATGGATGAATGCAAAGACATTTTTCAAGTTTCTCCAATATTTTGATAAGTATGCATGTCCAGACAGACCAGTAATATTACTCATTGATAGTGTAAGCAGTCACATTGATTTGGATGTTTTTACCTTTGCCAGAGAGAAAGGGATAGAACTATACAGACTTGTACCAAATGCAACTCACTTCCTACAACCCTTAGACAATGGTGTATTTAGGCCAATGAAAAAATCATGGTACCAAATTGTTACGAGAAATACAAAAGAAAACCCAGATAAGAGCATTGGGAAGGAAAATTTTGCAGTCAAACTTCAAGAGGCATTTTTAAATTTTTATAAACCTTTTTATATAATGAGTTTCATCATTTGTTTTCAGGACTTTTCATGATTTCCTGGGATAGTCAAGGGGCATAACTCCAAATATATAACTCTCAGAATGATGCCCCTTGTCTTACAACTACCTCTTGTCATGAAAAGCAAGCATTCAAACTTTCATATGGATACCTTTAAAATTGTTTAAGTTATGGGCTACATTGTGGTTTTTGCATTATAACGCCGACACCACAGCGATAACAATACCTACACTTTTTCTTAGAAAATAGTTAGATATTCTCAGTTTCAGATAACAAAACTTACTATGCAGCTCATATTATTAAGATATTCTTTTAGCATAATATAAGTAGATTAAATGCATCATGCCAATTTTGCCCCCACAAAAGTGACTTATGTTTGCTTCAAGTATATAATTATAATCCTGAAACCACATTATAAGTATGTTTTCTATACAGATTACAAAGACAATACCACAATTAAATTAAATGTAGATATCTTGTGTTTTGGTCAAAAAATCAGTCTGCAGCTGAACCTACATTGCCAATGATCTACTAAAATCTGTTGCTGCCATCAGACGAAGGGTCAGATCATTCAAGTAAATAGAAACATAAATGTAATACATACCTGCAAGGTGTCACCCGAAGACTAGTCAATATGAATTTGGAAAATGCTACTGTTTTACATACATTTGACTGTTAAAATTGTATAATGCAATAATGGACATTTCCTGTTTTTGAATTTGGAACATTCCAATGTCACTTCATGGATTTCTTTTCTATAACTCTGATCAAACAAGTGTCAATGTCTAATAAATGTATATAGATCAGCAGACTCACTGGACTATAAATGGAGGGCATAGCCATAGATAATGCATCATATCATCACTGCTGGTGTCTTGAAAGAGTTTTAGTGAAATTCTGATAGTACTTTATCTACTCGTAATAATACTGCAATATCCAGCCCTACATTCGCTGAGGGGGAAAATATCTAATTTTGTCTTTTCAGAACAATTCTCTTACTTGACTTTCATTCAAAATATTACGAGGGATGTTTTGTATATGTAAATATAAAACCTCTTTATGTATATTTATGAAACTACACCAACAGAAAATACAAACTAGAGTAAAGTTTTTGGCCCCAACAAACATAATCATGACATCATCAAAACATGACATCACTTCCTGTTTGTTTCAAAATCATCATAAATGATGAAACAATATATAGAGGAAATTCAAGTTTTTTCTATAAATACAGTATTTATTTCATTGAGTGGTATGAAAATAAATATTTCATGAGTGGTGGTAGCCACGAGTGAAATATGATAATTTTCATACCACAAGATGGAAATAAATCCTGTATTTGTAGAAGCAAATTGAATTTTCTGTTTATTATATACATTTTTCTCTTTTTTGACATCAAAATTTGAATTACTTTCTCTTAAATTTTATATATTGGCTGAATATAGCAGAAAGTAGTCTGCCAAGACACCAGTGAAAATACGGTAAATTACTAAATATGTCTCACTGCAGTGAAAATAAATATTTTACAGTGAAAATGTTGAAAATGAAAATATGTTTTTTTTTATTTCATCAACATGATCAATATTTCTCAATATTTCATTTATAAGTATATAATAAATACTAGTATTAAAGATAAAATCACAATCTTATTTGCTGTACATAAAACGTTTTTTGAATACACTAGTAAATTATACAGTACTACCTCTGCTAAGCAACACCCTTTGGGAGGCAAAGATTTTGGTTGTTGATGAAAGGTGTTACTCTAGAGAAGGATTAATCTACTGTTATGTCTCACTATAAGAACTAGAAATGTGTCATCATGCCACGGATGCCCCCGCATGCAGCCAAAATTTCAGATGGTGCATTAATTTTTTTTTTTCATTTTAAGTTCAAAGCCCTTAAAACTTTTCAATGTTAACACAAACCATTTTCATACACTGTTCAAGGCACTGAAATTATTCAGTCTTAACCTTTTAAAAATAGCATATTGCATATTTGTAGCCAAAATAATGGCTAAAAGTATGAGTGCTGAAACTGAAAGTTCAAAATTTTTCCTACATTCAGGAAAGATAAGTTTGTCTAAATCATTGAACCACAACCAAATTCAAACTTAAACTGCTTATTCCTAAGAAGTATCTATATTATTTTCAAAGTGAAAGGGACATAACTCTGCCAAAAAATCATCAAACCATGACCAAATTCCAACTTGACCTGCCCATTCCCTTGACACATCTATATGTCAAATTTAAGTTGAATATGTAACACTGTTGGGTAGATAATGAACAGAAACTGTAAATTTCATATTATTTTCAAAGTGAAAGGGGCATTAGTCTGCCAAAAATCATTGAACCATGACCAAATTTGAACTTGACCTGCCAATTCCTTTGACTCATCCGTATGTCAAGTTTGAGTTGAATGTGTTGTACCTTTGGGGAGATAATGAACGGAAACTGAAAATTTCATATTATTTTCAAAGTAAAAGGGGCATAACTCTGCCAAAAATCATCAAACCATGACCAAATTCGAACTTGACCTGTATTTTCTCATGACATATCCATATGTCAAGTTTGAGTTGAATGTGTTGTACCGTTGGGGAGAATTTGAAAGGAAACTGAAAATTTCATTTTATTTTCAAAGTAAAAGGGGCATAACTCTGCCAAAAATCATCGAACCATGACCAAATTTGAACTTGACTTGTATTTTCTCATGACATATCCATATGTCAAGTTTGAGTTGAATGTGTTGTACCGTTGGGGAGATAATGAACGGAAACTGAAAATTTCATATTATTTTCAAAGTAAAAGGGGCATAACTCTGCCAAAAATCATCAAACCATGACCAAATTCGAACTTGACCTGTATTTTCTCATGACATATCCATATGTCAAGTTTGAGTTGAATGTGTTGTACCGTTGGGGAGATAATGAACGGAAACTGATATTTCATATTATTTTCAAAGTAAAAGGGGCATAACTCTGCCAAAAATCATCAAACCATGACCAAATTCGAACTTGACCTGTATTTTCTCATGATATATCCATATGTCAAATTTGAGTTGAATGTGTGCAACCGTTCTTAAGATAATGAACGGAAACTGATGATGACGGAATGACAGAATGACGGAAGGCCGGAAGGATGGAAGGACGGAATGACGGAACAGGGTAACACTATATGCCCCGGCCATTACATGGCGGGGGCATAAAAATTGAAAATGTTCTTGTAAAGGGGTAGTTGATCTACATAGAGCCACTTTGCAGAGGTTTCACTGTATATACATTATGTATATTCTTTTTTAATGTGTGCATGTTTTGTCCATGTTTATTTATTATTATAATTATAATAAAATATAGTTACTTTTTCATTGCAAAGTATTCCTCTTTAAGGTCTTTTAAGGTAATCTTGCATAAAAAAATTCATTAAATCCCAAAATGTCTTTTTTTGGATGTGTCAGCCATTAACGGCAAACAACATTTTGTGTAACACTTTAATATAAATTGAAAGGTATCACATGATACAGAACAAAAATTTGTTCTTATGAATATAAGATCATTGTTATAAATATTCACATTTCATTATGTATTAATATTTACATTTCATATAATCTCTTAACTTATATACAGGTGAGGTACATCTAATAACAAAAAGATCTTAAAAACTTACCTTTACATCTTGATAAAAACTGTAAAAACATTTCGTCTTTGAACACAGGGCTACATTCACTGAAATACACAAAATTTTATTATGATGATCCAAGTTATTATCCTTTTCTAACTTAGGGGAAATAAAAGTCAGGAATTTCTTAGGGACAATAAATTTCCATCTTAGTGGGTAATTAAATTATTAGCTTTCATTGGACAAAAACACTTTTATCTTTTTTAAATGAAAAAAATTGTTTACAAGTTTTATTCTTCAATTTTAAAGGGGAAATGTTTGCCAGGAGGGGAATTTTAGACTTGTCTGTCGGGAAAATGTAGTAATTCGTCTTGGGGAAGTAGCAGGATACCAGCTAGAGCAAAGAAGGATAAAAAGGCCCTGCCCTTTTAATCATGTGCCAGTGGTGGCTCAGACAATTAGACTGAAAATGCCTACCTTGACATCAGCATAACCTCTAAAGCCTGCTGTAGTGGGTCTATAAACAGCTCTAAAGAGACAAGCTCCCCTTGTCTTACACCCTCTGTGCTGTCTGAAATGGCCACAGATGACAGACCAACACTGCTACATGGCCAACATGTTCTGATGTGAGTCTTGTTCAGCACACATAAGCCTCCAATGTAAAATCCACACAGCTGCATGACAGAGGGATTCATCAGAATTAGATCTTTTTTCATCTGAACGGGCAAGTCAATATTTCCTCCTGAAAAGTACAAATCAGGTTGTATAATCATAATCATACATAATTGCAATTTCATTAGACCTGTTAATAGCATACTTTAACTTTGCATTCATATTTAAATTGAATGGAAAACCTTTTTCAACATCATCTTTATGCTGCCCAATACCAAGGGCATGAATATTTGTGGGTGGTTTACTTATTTTTTTAACTTGATACTTGTGTAATAAAATTTATTCCCATCAGTAGAGATGATATAAAATTATCACAATAGTATGCAAGGTAGGCAAAGAGTCATAGATAAATCAGCTGGGACATTAGTTCTGGCTCCCATAACTTTATACGTCTTTTATTTTGACGGTGTTAAATAAAAATGTTCAGATTTTTTTATCCGACTTGACAATTCATAAGATTTGCCTACTAATTATAATAATAATGTATACTCAAGGACGGTGATAGAATTTTTGGTGACAGATCTATTGAGATAGAACTAGAAATGTGTCCATAGGACACCAGTGCCCCCCACATGTGCCCAAGTGGAAAACTAAAAATCTTTTATTAAGTAAAGGGCAAATACTAGAAATACTGAATAAATCCATAAGAAAAACCCTATTAAGTGCTTAAGTACACATGTTGACCAACATTCTTGTAAACTTTCAGGCCTACAGGTCATATAAACTTTTTGAGTTACGTGCAACACAAGTTAAATATTGTAAATTTTTACTAAGTCAAGGGCAATAACTCTAAAAATACTAAACATATCCACACGAAAATACCCAGGTGCACAACTAAACATACTGAGCAACATTCTTGTAAGGTTTCATGACTCTAGGTCAAATACTTTTTGAGTTACGTGTGAGACACAAGTTGAAAATTGCAAATTTTTACTAAGTCAAGGGCAATAACTCTAAAAATATCCACACGAAAATACCCAGGTGCACAACCATACATGCTGAGCAACATTCTTGTAAGGTTTCATGACTCTAGGTCAAATACTTTTTATAGTTACGTGCGACACAAGTTGAAAATTGCAATTTTTTACTTAGTCAAGGGCAATAACTCTAAAAATACTAAAAATATCCACACGAAAATACTCAGGTGCACAACTACACATGCTGACCCTAAACATTCTTGTAAGGTTTCATGACTATAGGTCAAATACTTTTTTAGTTACATGCGACACAAGTGGAAAATTGCAAATTTTTACTAATTCAAGGGCAATAACTCTAAAAATACTAAAAATATCCACACGAAAATACACAGGTGCAAAACTTCACATACTGGGTTTCATGACTCGAGGTCAATTACTTTTGAGTTACGTGAGACACAAAAAGGGAACTGACGGACGGAAGGATGGACAAGGGACCCCCCTATCAGTGATTTTTTTCACTGTATTTACAGCCGAATAAAGGATGTTTCCCCTAGCCAAAAAAAGGTATATATTCCCCTAAAAATGCTAATATTTTCCCCTAAAATGCCTCGTGCTCTTCCTTACCAGAACCATGACTTAATAGCATCTGACTTATGTACAGACTCAATCAAACCGAGTCTGCAATTCTCTTGTTATTTTGTTGTGATTAATGCTTCCGAGGGATCACTTTGTATTTAAGTTAACTTTTAAACCTACCATATGTCAGACCATTTTACATACGAGTTATACAGTGAGATAAGCTACCGGTTATCTTTAGGCCGCTATTCCATTTATACGTGATCAGTGGCCCGCTTCCGTCATCACCAATGTTATTTCTGGTCAACCCGGCCCCATTTTTTTAAATTATTTATTTTGCTTTAAAATATAAACACTTATCAAGAAATGAAATAAAAATTAACAACAAAAACAACAACAAAATTTAAAGGCTGATATCTTTTATTATTTATGTTATATAAAAACTATCAATATTAACAAACAAGCAACACATTCATAGTTTACTGTTTTTACCGTCGCGAAAATAGGTGATGTCTATCTTCAACCTTAACCTCTCTACGATAGAAGTTTTAAGAAAAAACAAAACTTTTTTATTGATATATCATGGAAAAGAAACCTTAATGTGTTCAAATCATTACTATGTTATTGTATGTTAAAAAAAAAGAAATTACCAAAAGCACACTAAAGTGTTTCCATGAACAGTTTTTAAGTAAGATTAATTATAGAGATTCTGCCATCTATCACAGGTATCGCAGGTCACTGCCTCCTGTCTGTCACGCACAATATATCCACAATCAATACAGTTATCAGTCATAATGACATGAAGTGATTATACACAAAACACTATCAATTTTTCGAAGACTTAGTAATAGTCCAGTACTGAAAAAAAGATTGTTGGAAACTTAATTTATACAAACCTTTTAACTCGAAATTCTATGCATTTCTTCCTAATTATCGCATTAACACTCACGAAACCATCTTTAATTTACATCGAATAAAGACATGAAAGATACTACCAACTTATTTAAAGGATTTGTTTTCATAGCTATACCCTTTTAAACTGTTTGATTATCACATCTGAAATAATGTTGATGTATATATAATTGTTGATGTTATATAATTATTCATTATCTCTATTGCATATTAAAGTCTTAATCTGCGCAATTAAATTTACCGACACTTTTATGCCAGTTCATGTTTTTTAACTATTGTTCTATAGTTAATAATATTCAATTAATAATAAATCATTTTTATTCCATCATACAACAAAATGACCTGAATAGTTTTCTTTGAAAATATATATTTTGGGGCCGGCATGACCGATTTTGGGGCCGCACTGACCAATTTTGGGGCCGCATTGACCAAATAAAAATACTGTGGGGCCAGATTGACCAATTTTGGTGCCGGGTTGACCAATTTTGAGGCCAGGTTGACTTGGGGCCGGGTTAACATTGGGCCGCAGGGTTAGAATTTAGCAAGATTTTCTACTTGCAGATTTTTGCAAGTGATCAAATGTTTAAGGTATGAGCCACCTAATGCATTACCTCCACTTTGAAGAGTACTCAAATAGGCTAGAACTACTGTCAACTGCATTGAAACTGAGGGGCGCGGGTTCAAGCCCCAGAAGAGGCAACTTTTTTTTTCTTTCTTTTTTTTTTCTTTGAACATTTTTTGTGTCTCTCAGATCACTCTTGATAAGAAAAAAGTGTTTCATTTAAATTATAAAATTATTATTGGTATTTTTTGGCTAAATTGTGCAAAATTTATTATAAAATATGGTACCTGATATTTTCAAAGTCTAATAAAATAAAAACTAGACGGTAAAAATATTTTATATTTGACAAGTGCATCCAATATACTTTTAAGAAAATTTATGCAAACTTTGAAAACAGCCCCTGATTTGAGTAAATTTTAGGGATATTTTGAATAAGGCCCTCCAAGTAGGAAAATGATCAAACAACTACTTAAAATGGGTGGGGTAGGGTAACATTTATATACATATTTCAAACATTTTGAGTAGAAACAATAATTTTGATGGGTCATTTGTTAGCTGAATGCTATTATTTGTTTCTAAAATATTTTCTACAGGAAAACATTATTTCATAATGATTATATAATAGAATAATTAGAGTTTCTCATTTCTAAAAAAGAGCCCTTCTAATAGCCAAGTTTTACTTTAGAAAAACCTCCCTAACTCGCAAACCATACGGTAAACTTTGTTTAAATTTTGCATTCTTGTGTCTTTTAAGGTATATAACTGACCTATGTTGTCAATTTTAGAGTTCCTTATAGTGCCCATTAGGAGGCTCATACCTTAACTGGCTATATGAGGTAGTCAACTGGCATTTCCATGATCACGTATCTTATTATTATTATTATAATACACAATGACAATATATTTTGAACATCTGGTATGACAAATGATATTAAGCTTGAATGTCCATTGAATATCAGAAACATCTTTATAACTGGTAAACACAGATGTCTTCTTGTAAAGAAACAAAAACATTTCAACACATTAATTTATAAATGATAAACAATTGTTAAGGGATCAGATTCGATTTACCAGAGGAACACCCACTGGTAACAATGTACAGTTATAAACTTGTTCATGTTATGGAATTTCTTGGGGCCTTCATTAATTTAAGCATATTTTGTACTTGATTACACCAACAATCTTAAAACTCAGAGGACTGATCTACTTAAAATAAATAAATATTTAAGCTTAAAAGTAAACACTTTACAGAGGAGTGCTACGCATTAACATTGGACCCTGATAAAACATCTTGGATGTTCTAACCAATAGTGTTTCGCTATTATAAATAATCCATCAAAATATAGTCACAGAAAAAATAAATACCTGTAGAGCAACTTAAAATTTATTTTTAAGTTTTTAAGGTAAACATCATCAGTTACTGCAGTATCATCATCATCAGCTCAGAAGATAACAATAATGTAAACATCCAAAATGAACAGTCACTTGCAAATAAATGCCAGCTAGAGTAATTTATACTGGCATTATTAGATTTTAACTTGCATTTTGCCAGTATGCCAGCTTAAATTCGAACCCTGGGCCGGGTTGACTGTAATTCTTTTTTACGGACGCGGACAGACATGAACAGGTCTCGTCACGACAAAATGTCTCGAATGAAATTAAATACTTCATCGATTTAGAAAGAAAATACTAAAAAGCTCACCAAAATAGTGTTGGAGAACCCATAAGTTTAAGATGCACCAATGACAGATTAAAAAAACATCATCTGGTCTTCGGTTGCAAAAGAGATGTTATTCCAAAACCTAACTGGTATTCAATGTTTTTCCTTTTTCTTTTTACCCCATTCTTTGATGTTACAACTGGTTTTGGTATTAGAATGAAATTATGTCATAATACAAAATATTATCCTCTGTTATTAAAAGTATATTGAAAATTAAAAACGTACCTATGGAATATTACTCACTGACTACACCGGACACGGATCACGTACCAATGGAATAGTGGCCTTACTCGAAAACCTACTGAATAGCCTGTCGTCTGCTATTTGGGGAAAGTGTTTATTGGTGTATTGCTCAATACTCATAAATGCTATATAGTACTGCAATATATATGCTGCTGCTGCAGTGCAGTACTGTATGCCTAAATATTTAAAGGAAAAAAATGTCACATTTTTGCTATCTCTGTAAATAAATTCAAAAGCTAAAATGCAAACCTTTGCCTTCAGGTAAAGGGCAGACAACTGCGTTGAAAATATTGTGTAAAACATAACCATGTGAAAATGATTTGTTGCTCAAACATTCATCTTTGTGCTTTGACAGGTCTCTATAACCCAATATTCTACTGCAGTGTATACATTGGTTCCATTCAGGAATGATCTGTTTATTCTTTGGAGGCATTTTTCACACAAAATTATTTAAAAACAAAATTTCTATCCGAATCTCGATCTCAATTTGCCCACCACATGTTTTTATCTCGTCCACATTCTCGCGAGATTCGCAAATTAGTGTTCATGTTATCACGTGACTTGAAACGAGATTTTTATTTTCAGAACTGGTACGTTATTTTTCCAGCTGTGGTAAGTAGTCGCCCCTAAAAGAAGTAAACTAAAAGAAAAAAATCGAATCTGTTGATCATTTGAAAGAGCACACGTTTCTTATCTTTCCTCTGTCGTGAACATTTTATGTTTGGTTGTATGATTAGTTAAATAATTCGAATTATGAAGCATAATTTTTTACCCCTCCCACTTTTACGCTCTGTATATTCGGACTGTGCCTATTTCGTAACATTGATAAATAATTAGAATGCTAGTTAATATTATTTAAGTTCAGTAAGATTTGACTGAATAAATATACATAATATAATTTATAACATTTTGCATTCATAAAGTAATCTAGTTCTGGCTTTCAAATCTTTACGGTAGAGACATAAGATTGACAAATCGGTGGAGTGTGGGGGCACCGGTGTCCTATGACACGTTTCTAGTTCTATCTCAATAGATCTGCCACCAAAAATTCTATCACCATCCTGGAATATAAATTATTATTCTGTATAAATAAGTATTTTCCAAAAATTTACAGACTGTCCATAAATATCATGAAATCAGACACTTCACCCCTCAAATTTTGAAGACACTTCATCCCCCTTTATCAGGTCTAGGATTTCATAATATTTATGGACAGTCTGTAAATTTTTGGAAAATACTTATTTATACAGATTTTTTTATCAGTAAATTACAGACTTTAAGAAAGAAATTAGTAGAAGTTGCATTAAAATACAAAACTGCAGGTTAATATGAATAAGGTTATGTATTAAATGTAACAGTATGGTAAGATTCAGAACAATTTGATAACTTTCAATTTTCGCTTTTAACAAAAATTTCAAAATCATCAAACAAAGATGAAACTCACCCAATTACATTTGTAAATATTTACAATCAATAAGACAACTTGTCTTATGTTGCGTATACATATTAGTGTACAACTAAAAACAGCAAATTTCACATTGAATATAGGTAAGTTTATGGATTGAAAAATCTTTAAATTTCTAGACTATCTATAAATTTCAATTACTTTTGTCAGCCATGGAATTTATGAGCAGTGCTAGACCTGGTATGCCATAAAACTAAGGGGTTTACTTAAGAAAGGAAAAAGAGCATTGCGCTACCTACATCGGACTATACTGGTTTGGGAGATAAACTCGGCCGAAAATCGGTGTTTTTAGTGCATATTTCATTTATTTGTTTACGTATTCTGATGAATCTTGCCCATTAAAAAACTTCAGCTCTTCGATTTTCTGGTATCACCATAAAATATATAGTTAGAAACATAACGGGTATTTTTTTAGAGGCCCTGGAAGAGGTACGTAAAAAGGATATTTATAACGCGCTCGAGTAGATAATTCCGGCTCTTTGTTTTTCTTCTTAAATGAGTAAGTTAAAATGTAAAATAACATGTTTAGACATTTTATTATTTTTTTGCTGTTCATTTATGTCAAATAAAAAATATTATTTACCAAAATTGTTGAGCATAACGTTAGTATAATGAATATCTATGATAACACGATATTATATGCAACATACTATGTAATATATAAATGATTTTAACGTTAATATTTTACTTTTCTTCACAAAAGTGAGTCTGAATTTCATCTACAAAATGTATACGTAAACGTCGTGTGCTTAATGGTAGTCGGTCAATATATAAAAGTAACCCTGTGCGGGCCTCCAAATGAGCATCTACTGCGCATGGGCACAACAATGGGATTCCCATACTTTTTATAGGCATGTTTTGTAAACAAACAGGTAAAAGTCTGTGTTATTCTTTAAATAGACAAAATTTCCAGATATTGTCGAATTCCAGCGATAGTACGACTATGAGATGGTGAGCTTGATTAGATTAAAAAATCCGATAACTCGATTAAATTATAAAAAGCCGAGTTTATCAACCAGCCGAAGTTATCTCCCTAACCAGTATATCTTTTCTTTTTTTTCCAATCAAGTTTGTCAATCAATTCAACTACAGACTAATAATGACTGTTGTTACTTTTTTGCAATTTTACTCTTATGTTGCTACAGTTACATAAATATACATGTAGCAGTGATCTTAGACTTTTTAAAAATAGATTTACTAGTAAATGGAGATTTATGCTAGATTTGCACTCATTTTAAAGGCTGTGATTTCAATGCAATGAAATGAAAAAAAAATTGATTTGTTTTGATACTCTCTGTTTCAGCTACAAATAGAATTACAGCTTCAGACATGTTGATAGATGACTTAGAGCAGTTGAAAGACTGGCTAACAGCTCAATTGTCACCAATGTAAGTGCATGTGTAGAAAGTACATATAATGTTCAGATAATAATTTCTCTGATTTCGGCTGATATTCCTATTGTAATAATTGAGTAAAACTGTCGTTAAAATTCATTTGTGATTCAGGTATCATGTGGAATAAGTAGTCATTCACTTGCAGAGAAATTGGTAATTTCTGGTTATCTTTGAGCGTGGGTTAGATGGACTGTTCGGTGAACAAATTTAAGAAAATTTCTTTGAGCTTTACATAACTTCAAAACAAACTGAAATGATAATAAAGTATGTGAGTTGTTTTTATATCTGTGGATAAATTTGTAAAGAGATTAGTTTAATAGGTTTTTTCATACTTGAATCAAATCTAGGTGACAACCTAGCATGTAAGTTTCTTGTTATAAACAAAACATTGCTAAAATTCAAATTTCAAAGGCCTAGAGTATAAGTATTATTCCTAAAACACGTACAAACATGCATACACATGTTCTCAAACCTTTGTTATGTATGTTTGCAGTTGTGAGGCAGATCCGAGTGCACTAGCCAAGTATGTTGTGGCACTTGTGAAGAAAGATAAACCCATCTCAGAACTCAAGGACAGTTGTACTGACCAGCTAGATGTCTTTTTACAGACAAGTGAGTATTGCTGACTTTCTTTTTTTTCCCCTAAATATTGAAAAAGTACCAGTTTTTAACAGTGCTATAATCTCTAAACGGAATAATCTAGGCTAATTTGTATCTCTACATTCTGTAACTTTATTGTACTTGATAAACTTAATATATCTACTGTAATTTACTAAATTTGCATGTTTAGTTACATTGATTGTCACTCTTTAGTTAACAAAAATTATCATGTGCTATCTTGTTTGATTGAGGCTTAGAAAGGTTACTGCTGGCTGTGATTTTCCTGCTTATTAAACAGACTCTAATAAAAGGCCTCTTCCCAATTGAAATTTTCTTTAAAATCATGCAGTTTTCCCAAAAATCTGAACTTAAACCTGATTTTTTTTACTTCCCAAATTAGCAATTTTAGTGATAATTTTTCCCAAAATCAAGAGACTAAGGCTTCTTCCAAATTAAGTAAAAAAAATCAATGGCTTGTATGTTTTTAGTTGTAGCTTATTTAATTCACACACTGCATATATTATCAAAGCTTACAGAGTTAGATTAAAACTGTGTTTACTTATTGGAATTCTAGAAACAAAAGATTTTGTGGACACATTATTTGAAGTGATAGATAACAAGTCATACATCAAAGAGAAAGAGGAGACAGCTGCCCCTCTCCCAGACAGTGCCGCCCCAGATGAAGCCCCACCCACAGAGAATGATGCTACCCTGGCACCAAGTGACCAGCAACTGGTTACATCCACATCAAAAATAGATATTAAAAGAGAAGAGGTAAATTCTTATAACATACTGTGATATCACTTTGTAGGCCCAAATGAAATTATTAAAGTTGTCCATATACTAGTGATTTTTTCTGTTATCGGAAATGCTAGAATTTGAGACCATGTCAACATACCTTCTATGCCATTTGCTCAAAATTTCAAATTTCATGGCAGCAAAATTAATTTATTTCACAGTATGCAATATCTTTACAACATTTATTTAGTAGTACATTAAATTCTTATTTTTGGTACCAATAAAGTATAAAAAGTACAATATCAATACCCTTTCATTAAGAGTCAGTACTGGCGTATACCAAATGAATTGAAATATTAAATATGTTTGTATTTAAACACATGGTTTTATATCTAGCATGTTTATTGAACAAAATATTTAAGTGTAAATTGTTGAAGTATCATTAAAAATTATTTTTTGGTTATTTGGTCAGGTATCCTACTTTGGATTTGAATAATAGCTGTGTTTTGCTCAATATTTTGAAATTTGGGTAATCAGAAATTATTTCATAGAAGCATGCAAAAAGATCTTTACAATAGAGAATATATTTATATGTGTATAAAGCTTACCAAGATTAACATGCTTGTATGTTTTTACAGGATTTACAGAAAGCATTTCCAATAGGAGAAAACCGACCTAGAAAATCTCGATCAAGAAGCTTATCTCCTAGAACTAGATCCAGAGAGTAAGTTTTTCAGACTATCTATGTAATGTATCAAGAAAGGAAACACTTGTTTGTGATAAAGCAGTGTGTTTGACTCTCATGAGAGGGAGCTATTTAGCCAGGTCATTGACAGTCAGTGTTTCTGCCTTGGTGCAGTCTGGCTGAAATCAACTACCCTAAAAGTTAAGATAAAAAATCATATTTGAGAAAATTGTCAAAATAGAGAAGGCTATGAAAGTTAGTAATGTGATGTTTAAATCATAGGGAGACGAAAACATGTTGTATTTGTGATGGCAAAGTGGATAGAAATTGTATCACAAAATGATTCCGGTTCTGTCCAAAGAGCCATTTAGGCTAGAATTTTCAAGTCATTAACTCGCATCCATCTGTAGAATTATATCACTCCAAAGATGTTGAATTTTATCATGTTTGAAATTTGTTAAACTACTTAAAGAAGGTCTTTGATTCTATTAAGGTACCCCTATCAGGCTATGTGCACAGAAAGGTACTAATTTTAAGGTCTTCCTGTGTAAGTAATGCAGGAATGTTAACACATAACCTGATGAAGTGATTTGAGTGTCTATGATATGCAACTGAATTTTGCACATCTTATACATAATTTCATAAATCTCTTTGTGTTAAATGTGATTCCAAATTACTTTCTAAAAAATTACATATATATATGATATATATATGCAGAGATGATAGGAGAAGAAGAGTAGATGAAAGACGGAATTTTGACAGAGGTTATCCTCGTAGACGATCAACAAGTCCTAGATTAAGAAGATACAGATCAAGGTCACCATATAGACGAAGGTCACCTTTTAGACCTATCAGAGGTCGTGGTCGAGGACGCTCCCGATCAAGATCATGGTCCAGAAGCTGGTCAAGGTCACCAAGGAGTAGATCAAGAGAAAGAATTAGGTCAAGGTCACCAGGAGGTAGGATTAGATCAAGGTCACCTGGAGGAGGCTTGAAATCAAAGTCACCTGCTGGAAGAATCAGATCAAGATCACCTGGCGGTCGTATCAGATCACGTTCCCCTGGTGGAAGAATAAGGTCACGCTCACCTGGAGGTCGTATAAGGTCAAGGTCGCCTGTAGGAAGATTACGTTCGAGGTCACCAGGTGCACGTTCACCAAGACGTGAGGTCAGAGCAAGGTCACCGAGGGGAAGATCTCCGTACAGACGCTCAATTTCACCAAGATTTAGATCAAGGTCACCCAGAAAAAGGTCAAGGTCTCCTGTAGGTTCAAGAAGTCCAAGATCAAGGTCACCATTGTCACCTAACAGATCAAGGTCTAGATCACCTGTAAGAAAAGGTAATTGTTGTGAAGAATACTTTGAAAAGTGATATATTTTAATAGAGACCTATTAAGATCAGTTTCAAAATAAACTTTATCAATGTTTCTTGGAAATAGAATAAAATTTGAAATGAAAATAGACTAGTTAAAATAATTAAAAATATAGAAAATTGAAATCTTGCAATGATTGGGTCTAATATTCTAATCTTCATATAGCCTTGAGTCTATAGGTTTTGTGGTATCAAATGTTCCTTTAACATTTTGCTTTCAAATCACTCTGGTATAGGGGAAATTAAATTCATTTTGAAAGTTTTTTTAGTAGAAAATTATTGTCAGTGAATTGAGAAAGCAATACTTTGTTTCTTCAGGAGTATGTTCTTGTGATGGCTTTAAAATTTATTAAATAATGAAAATGTAATATGATCAATTGCTTAGCTTTATTACAATATTAATAATGCAAAATTATTGATTTTTGCAGTGCGTAGAAACAGCTTAGATAGTCGAGGTCCAACACCAACGCAAGAGAATGGACTGGCTGATAGTTCTAATCCAACTCCGGCTGACTCGCACAGCTCTATCTCTGTTGTGACACACACGTCTGGGAGATACGGAGAGGTGCAGTCAGCATCTGGGATACGATGTAGGGACTATGATGGTGCGTTAATGAAATTATTTTTTCTTTGATCCTTGTGTTTTGTTGTTGTTATTGTTGTCTTATAATCTTAAATTTGGGAAAATCATGTTGTTTTGGGGTTTTTTTTGGCAAAGTGTTTGGAAAAACTATTGCAGTACGTTTTAAAATTGCGTTTAAACTGCATTATGCATTGTAAGAAGAGGATGTGGCCTATAGTAGAGTTGTTGGTTGGTGAGGTTGTCATTCATTAAGAGGTGATTGCCCTCAATTCTTAAGTTTGGAAAAATTGCTTTTTAATGTTTTTGTTGCAGGGATAAAACAATCTGTAAGTTAAATGTGTGAAAAAAGTGCTTGATCTAAGGTAATTTTCACACATGTAAGGGAACATTGCTAATTATGGAGGCCTTACATAGGAGGAACTTTGATACAATTTTCAACATATGATACATATTATTGAGCTTTCTTTTGATACAGTGTTACTAAATATCTTTATAACACAATACAAGATGTGACATCTGTTTGCCTTAATGTTACATTGATCATGTTTTCAGAGAAAGGATTTTGTGTTAGGGGAGACCTGTGTGTATATGATCATGGAAATGACCCGGTAGTCGTGGAAAGTGTTTCACAATATCCGTCAGGTTAGTCAAATTACATTGATCAATATCCGTCATAGTGATTTTGATTGTAAAATGTTTGTTTTCTGGTTTTTATGCTGATTTTATCAAATTTTTGGTAATATCTGGGTAGTCGGTCCACTTAAAAGGCTGTGGTGGATAACTTGCCACGACCTAATTTTTCTAGGCAAATTACCAACTACTTATCCCACATGTATATACAAACATACTTCTTTTCATACAGATATTTTGAAAGTTCACAATGTATTCTCTTTTTTTTCCCAAAAAATTTAAACAATAAACTTTTTGTAAACTTTAGGCAGCAGATTTATACATGTAGTTATATACACTTTACGCTTAAGGAACATCTGTGGTTCTACTCAAGTGCCCATTTATGCCTGAAAGTATGCACGAAAGGACACCTGAGGTCTTCTTCAACCAGGATAGCTGGTATGTTGCCATATGACCTATACTGTGTTGGTGTGACGTAAAACCCAATTAAAACTAATACATTTTAAGATTCTGTTGTTGCTAGGAGGCTTTCCAACTTGTTTATAGAATGTCAGTGGTACTAGGGGGCGTCTGTGGCCGAGTGGTTAAGGTCGTTGACTTCAAACCACTTGCCCCTCACCGCTGTGGGTTCGAATCCCGACAGGGACTTTGGATTCTTTCATGTGAGGAAGCTATCCAGCTAGCTCACGGAATGTCAGTGGTTCTGCTCAGGTGCCTGTTCGTACCTGAAATAATTCTCGGAAGGGCACCTGAGTTCTTCCTCCACCAGTAAAGCTGTGCAATATGACCTATACTGTGTCGATGTGATGTGAAAACCCAAAACAAACAAACAAAGTCAGTGGTACTATATTTGTGCCTGCTTCTTCTTGAAATAATAAATTGAACAGCCCCTTTAGTCTTCTGCAGTGTGTTCCTTTAGGTGATTTTTGAACGTATATAAAGATGCACAATTACAACATATAGCAGTTAAAAATATTTCCACTTATTCCATATAGTATAAGATTCATATACACAAAATATAGATCAAGCAAAGTGTGAACTATCTGGATTAGCTAGAATGTATGTTTAAAAACTTACCTTGCAGGTCACCCACCTCATCATTCTGGACATCCACCAGGCCCCCCACCCCCTATGCACATGGGTATTCCACCCCCTGGATTTTTCTCCAACAGAATGCCCGGTCCACCAATACATGTTCGACCTGGTAGGTATTCATTTTATCAGAGCATTTATCAGAGAAAAGGGTAGAATGTGTAAGCTGAGTACAGTTCATCTTTACTTTTTTCTACTTTTCCATTTTCTCCTGTTATAGTGTAGTATATAGATAGGGTACCATATAATAGGTTGAGTACCATTAAACTCATTGTACAATATTTTGTAGATTAAAAACATAAGCTAGAAAGTTTATATATGACATCAACTGTACCTGTGTGACTTTAAATGCAACTTATAGATTTTGCAGTAAATTATCATGAATGTTTTAGCTTGACTATTACAACGTGTATTCGAAGAATAGGGAGAGGTATTATCCTCACCCAGGCATTGGAGTCAGTGTCACACTTTGATTGTAATTTTGCATGTAAGTTGATATCTCCAAAACTACTGAAGGGAATGGGTTGAAAACTTGAAACCATATTTGGAAGCATTATAAGGAGGTCACTATTCAAGACCCATAACTCTGACATGGATTTTTACAGAAATATGGCCCTTTTTGAACTTCAAAAAAAAATTCTAAATTATCCAGGCTCTTGTTTTATTGTCAAGCTCTTAGAATAGTATTGCACGCTGTTGTACCGACTGCGCTTGTTAATTTTTTGTGCCCCCCGCTTTAGTGGCGGGCATTTAGATTTACCCTTGTCTGTCCTTCCGTCCGTTCTCTTTTGTCGCATGTAACTCAAAAAGTATTTGACCTACAGTCATGAAACTTTACAGGAATGTTGATCAGCATGTGTAGTTGTGCACCTGGGTATTTTCATCTGGATATTTTTAGTATTTTCAGAGTTATTGCCCTTGACTTAGTAAAATTTTGCAATTTTCAACTTGTGTCGCATGTAACTCAAAAAGTATTTGACCTAGAGTCATGAAACTTTACAGGAATGTTGATCAACATTTGTAGTTGTGCACCTGGGTATTTTCCTCTGGATATTTTTAGTATTTTTAGAGTAATTGCCCTTGACTTAGTAAAATTTTGCAATTTTCAACTTGTGTCGCATGTAACTCAAAAAGTATTTGACATAGAGTCATGAAACTTTACAGGAATATTGATCAGCATGTGTCATTGTGCACCGGATATTTTCGTCTGGATTTATTTCGTATTTTTAGAGTTATTGCCCTTGACTTAGAATTTTTTTTGCAATTTTCAACTTGTGTCGCATCTAACTCAAAAAGGATTTGACATAGAGTCATTAAACCTTACGGGAAGGTTGCTTAGCATATTTAGTTTTGCAGCTGGGGTTTTGCTTGTGGATTTATCCAGTATTTGTAGAGTTATTTCCCTTGACTTAGTAAAAACCGTTTCATTATTTTGTTATTTGTTCCTTGAGTGCTTGAGTTAGAATCAACCAACTTTACAGGAATAATGATCACCATCACTAAATTACAGGAATAATGATTCACATCACTGTGAAGCTATGCACCTAGGACTTTGCATGTGGATTTTTTTCAGTTTTGTTAATGTTATTGCCCTTGACTTAAAGTAGTATAAATTTGCAATTTTCAACTTGTTATTCATAGCTTAAAAAGTATTTCACTTGTAGGCCTGAAAGTTTACAAGAATGTTGGTCATCATGTGTACTTATGCACCTTGGGGTTTGCTTGTGGATTTATTCAGTATTTGTAAAGTTCTTGCCCTTTACTTAGTAAAAGATTTTTAGTTTTCAAAAAATATTTGATCTAGAGTCATAAGATTGACAGAACAGTGGCGCGGTGGGGGCACCCGTGTCCTATAGACACATTTCTAGTTTAAAATCTTAGGATCATTTTGTACTACTGCCCATTTTACATATGCTTTAAGTACACTTTAAATGCAATACATTTCCAGATTTCCGTCATCAGGAGCCATACAATCCTGAAGCACCAGGACTCACAAGATCAGGTCCGCCTCCATTTTGGCCTGGAGGCCCTGACAACATGCCCCCTTTTATGAAAGGTCCGCCCCCTACAGTCCCACCACCCAATCATGTTCCAGTGAAGTCAAGACTTGGTACCAGAGGAGATCTAGTAAACCTTACTGTCAGAAGGGAAGTCAAAGGTAGGTGTAAATTAATTTAACAGTGACTTGATGATAGGGCCTTTGAATTTTGAAAATTGGTCACAAAATGTGAAATTTTGTGAAAATGAAATGTGGCATTTATAGTAAAGCTTAATAATGAAGCAAGTAAAAAATTGGTAGTTTATACAGAATTAATTTTGTTTTGATTGTGAAGGAAGATTATAGAGACTGAAATCAACTAACTAGACCTAAGTTGCTTAAGGAAACAACAGCTTGTCCCTGACATGGTTTACAAACATGCAGTAGTGATAATATAATATTATGTTTATGTCCCTTTCATCACATTGTATCTATACAAGTAGTTGATATTTTATGTTTATTATAATTATCACTGTACACCTATACATTACTCTATAGATGACCAAGACGATGAGGATACTCCATCATCATCAACTAGAACTGTGATAGCCCCTAAAGATGAGCCCCCTTTGTCATTGTCTCAACCCCCACCCCCAGGGGTACCAGTTGCAGAAACAACATCAACTGGTCCCCCACCAGGACCTCAAGGTCATTTCCAACATCATCAACAGAGGTTCCATCCATATCAGAGATTCTCAGGGCCAAGGAAACCATTTGATTATAACCGTATTGGAGGTAGGGATTTGTATATGTATTTATATTATGACACCATTCCCATCAATTCCTTATTGTACAAAGACGAAGTTTTTTAATGCATAAAAATTGAATCTAGACACAGTGTTAACATTATAAGTAAAGATACCAAGAAATAATTTTCAGTCATATTCCAAGGTACATAATCATTATCTTCAATCAAGTATTTTATATCATAGACTAAGGATATCAATTCAAAGATTTTGCTTGTTATGTGATACTCCGGCCTGTGGGCTTTATTTAAAGATATCGTCGCATTGTAACACTGTGTTCACTCGATTCTTTGAATGAACAAAATGACCTTGGTATTCAATATAAAGTATTAGTGACAGACTTGTTAAGGTCTCTAACTTTAAACCATTTGCCTCTCATTGCTGTTTGTTAAAGTCTTGCCAAGGACTTTGTATTCTTTCATGTTAAGAAGCTATCCAGCTACCTAACATAAGGTCAGTGTTTCTACTCGGATGACCACTTGTGCCTGAAATAATTCACAGAGGAGAATTCAAGGATTTCTTCAACTAGTAAAGCTGGAAAGTTGCCATATGACCTTAATAGTATAGTTCATGAATAGTCCATGGCCAAATGGTTCAGGTCGTTGAATTCACTTGTCTGTCACTGCACTGGGTTCGAATCCCTACAGGGACTTTTGATTTTTTCATTTGAGGAAGCAATCCAGCTGAAGTATGGAATGTCCATGGCTCCACTCAGGTGGCTGTTGAGCCTGAAATAACGCACAAAAGGGCACCTGAGGTCTTTTTCCACCAGAAAAACTGGAATGTCCCCATATGACTAATACTGTGTTTGTGCGATGTAAAACCAAACAAAAAATAAGTAGTGTTGGTATGAATTGAAACTCAACTTTCAACATAGATTCCTGACAAAATGTCAGTTAGTTTACTATGATGACGAGTATTTCTGTACATACAGGTTACAGACGTCCTGATCAGACAAATTGTACATTAGAAGTTAGAAAGATACCACAAGAGTTCAACAACATAGCCAAAATAAATGAACATTTTGGAAAGTTTGGTTCACTCACAAATATACAGGTAAAGTCATTTTTATAGACTAAAGTTTCTGTTCTTATTCACAGCTTTTATACTTTTTATCTAGAAGATTATTGAACATATTATTGTACATGTTCTATCAATCTTAAAGGAAATAGGGGGAAAAACATGTATGGAAGTATTTTCATAAGCATATTTCATCATCTTAGTGCAGTTAGGCGTTAACTCCTATTAAATTTGATTAGATTTAACCCATTACTGCATTAACTTGATGATTTAATGAAGGTGCATGTTAGTATTAGTTTATTTATGATTTAATTACTCAGTTATGTTTCATAAAGATGACTTAGTGATATTCAGAGTTATTTCCCTTTTATTATCTTTTAATGATTATACTTTTTTTTAAAGAATAGCTTCTTTATGACTTTAACTTGATGAACTTTAACCTTAAAAACTTAAGCCTGTTTATGTTTAATATTTTTGCGATAGCAGTGGAGATGTTTGTTGTTTTTCTCACCCTTGTTGGTCAATTTGATCGTGAAGTTACATATTCTTTGAGGAAAAATATAAGTAATGACAATGACAACAAATAAATGAAAGTTAGCAATATTTTGGGGAAAAAGTAACAATATTAAGTGCTTGTAAACTGTACTGGTAGAAATAGGAGAAAATCTTGAAAAAAATATGAAGCTTTGCTATTTAAAGAAATAATTTAATAGGTTCATTAGATTTACTTTGAATTATAGGTGAAGTTTGAAGGAGACCCAGAGGCTGCCCTGGTGTCATTCTCCAGTAACCAGGAGGCTCTCAGCTGTTATAAATGTCCTGAGCCGGTATTTAACAACCGATTTATCAAACTATTCTGGCATCAGAAAAACAAAGATACTACCAACCAGGTAAGTCTCTTACAAAAAAATATTTATTAAAAAAAATGAATGTCCTTAACCAACTGCATTTATGAAATGGATGTGCCCATCTATTATATTGGAATAGTCTATATTAAAGTTGAGGGATTTCAATATCAAAAGGCAAAAAAGGGCTACGTACAATATAGAGCCTGGTCCGTCCGCAACTGGCTCTATACTTGTGGCTAAGGCTTGGTAATTTCGTAATACTAATACATTATCCAGAGACATTGAATACTCGTGAGAGTACTTTCAAAGTTAATGACGATGGTTTATTTGTTTTATTTATTTTGGGACATCATTTACATTATTTGTTGTATTGTGAGTACACACAAGTTAGCGTACCCCTTGTTATTGGTAGTTTTCATAGAATTATCATTTGTGAACATATTATATTGATTTTTTTCACAGTATATAAAGGTCATATTTGGATATTTGTCTCTTGTAAAATAAAGTACTTAAATTAAAAGATGTGAACAGTTGAGCTACAGTCCATGAACTTTTTAATCATACCTTGTATGTAATGTTTAGAGAAAAAGAGGGGGGGAAAAAAGAGAGAAAAAAAGGTTGAACCCATGACCTTCAGTTTCAATGCAGTTGATAGTACTTATATCCTATTTAAGTACTCATCAAAGTGGAAGTAATGCATAAGGATAGTGATACTTGAAATAAATGTAAAAATATAGCCACTCTATCCAGTTGACACTTTGCATGTTTCTTACAAATTTTGTCAGATTTGCAATTTTTATGCCCCCGCCATGTAATGGCCGGGGCATATAGTGTTACCCTGTTCCGTCCTTCCGTCATTCCGTCCTTCCGATATTCCGTCATTCCGTCATTCTGTCATTCCGTCATCATCAGTTTCTGTTCATTTTCTTAGTAACGGTTGCACATATTCAACTCAAATTTGGCATATGGATATGTCATGAGAAAATACAGGTCAAGTTCGAATTTGGTCATGGTTCGATGATTTTTGGCAGAGTTATGCCCCTTTTACTTTGAAAATAATATGAAATTTTCAGTTTCCGTTCATTATCTCCCCAACAGTACAACACATTCAAATCAAATTTGACATATGGATATGTCATGAGAAAATACAGGTCAAGTTCGAATTTGGTCATGGTTCGATGATTTTTGGCAGAGTTATGCCCCTTTTACTTTGAAAATAATATGAAATTTTCAGTTTCCGTTCATTATCTCCCCAACAGTACAACACATTCAACTCAAATTTGACATATGGATATGTCATGAGAAAATACAGGTCAAGTTCGAATTTGGTCATGGTTCGATGATTTTTGGCAGAGTTATGCCCCTTTTACTTTGAAAATAATATGAAATTTTCAGTTTCCGTTCATTATCTCCCCAACGGTACAACACATTCAAATCAAATTTGACATATGGATATGTCATGAGAAAATACAGGTCAAGTTCGAATTTGGTCATGGTTCGATGATTTTTGCAGAGTTATGCCCCTTTTACTTTGAAAATAATATGAAATTTTCAGTTTCCGTTCATTATCTCCCCAACGGTACAACACATTCAAATCAAATTTGACATATGGATATGTCATGAGAAAATACAGGTCAAGTTCGAATTTGGTCATGGTTCGATGATTTTTGGCCAGAGTTATGCCCCTTTTACTTTGAAAATAATATGAAATTTTCAGTTTCCGTTCATTGTCTCCCCAACGGTACAAACACATTCAAATCAAATTTGACATATGGATATGTCATGAGAAAATACAGGTCAAGTTCGAATTTGGTCATGGTTCGATGATTTTTGGCAGAGTTATGCCCTTTTACTTTGAAAATAATATGAAATTTTCAGTTTCCGTTCATTATCTCCCAACGGTACAACACATTCAAATCAAATTTGACATATGGATATGTCATGAGAAAATACAGGTCAAGTTCGAATTTGGTCATGGTTCGATGATTTTTGGCAGAGTTATGCCCCTTTTACTTTGAAAATAATATGAAATTTTCAGTTTCCGTTCATTATCTCCCCAACAGTACAACACATTCAAATCAAATTTGACATATGGATATGTCATGAGAAAATACAGGTCAAGTTCGAATTTGGTCATGGTTCGATGATTTTGGCAGAGTTATGCCCCTTTTACTTTGAAAATAATATGAAATTTTCAGTTTCCGTTCATTATCTCCCCAACGGTACAACACATTCAAATCAAATTTGACATATGGATATGTCATGAGAAAATACAGGTCAAGTTCGAATTTGGTCATGGTTCGATGATTTTTGGCAGAGTTATGCCCCTTTTACTTTGAAAATAATATGAAATTTTCAGTTTCCGTTCATTATCTCCCCAACGGTACAACACATTCAAATCAAATTTGACATATGGATATGTCATGAGAAAATACAGGTCAAGTTCGAATTTGGTCATGGTTCGATGATTTTTGGCAGAGTTATGCCCCTTTTACTTTGAAAATAATATGAAATTTTCAGTTTCCGTTCATTGTCTCCCCAACGGTACAACACATTCAAATCAAATTTGACATATGGATATGTCATGAGAAAATACAGGTCAAGTTCGAATTTGGTCATGGTTTGATGATTTTTGCAGAGTTATGCTCCTTTTACTTTGAAAATAATATGAAATTTTCAGTTTCCGTTCATTATCTCCCAACGGTACAACACATTCAACTCAAATTTGACATATGGATATGTCATGAGAAAAATACAGGTCAAGTTTGAATTTGGTCATGGTTCAATGTTTTTTGCAGAGTTATGCTCCTTTTACTTTGAAAATAATATGAAATTTTCAGTTTCTGTTTATTATCTCCCCAACAGTACAACACATTCAACTCAAATTTCACATATGGATATGTTTTTGGAATGCCCAGGCCAAGTTCGAATTTGGTCATGGTTCAATGATTTTTGGCAGAGTAATGTCCCTTTCACTTTGAAAATAATATGAAATTTACAGTTTCTGTTCATTATCTACCCAACAGTGTTACATATTCAACTCAAATTTGACATATGGATATGTCAAAGGAATGGGCAGGTCAAGTTGGAATTTGGTCATGGTTCGATGATTTTTTGGCAGAGTTATGTCCCTTTCACTTTGAAAATAATATAGATACATCTTAGGAATAAGCAGTTTAAGTTTGAATTTGGTCATGGTTCAATGATTTTGGACAAACTTATCCTTCTTGAATGTTGGAAAAATTTTGAATTTTCAGTTTCAGCACTCATACTTTTGTGGAAATGTATGTAGCCATTATTTTGGCTACAAATATGAAATATGCTATTTTCAAAAGGTTAAGACTGAATAATTTCAGTGCCTTGAACATTGTATGAAAATGGTTTGTGTAAACGTTGAAAAGTTTTAAGGGCTTTGAACTTAAAATGAAAACAATAATTTGTGCAAACAAATTTGGAACTAAATATTATAACATCTGAAATTTTGGCTGCATGCGGGGGCATCCGTGGCATGATGACACATTTCTAGTTCCTACTACATTACAGTGTATGGTTATTTCTTCTGCTTATTATGAAATGTTACATGTAGTTAAAGTGGATAGAATTTAAGTGCTTTGGGCTGGGTAAAATTACATCTTACATATAGATTTACATTTTTCAAGGCAGAACAGTTTCTTTTTACATTTTACAACAATAGGCACACACCTTGAAGGGTGCTATGTTGATATTTCATATTAAATTAAAACATTTAAACGCAATCCAAGACTTGTGATATGAAAAAAGATTTAAGGTAAAATAAATCAAAAATGATAAAGTTTAAATATGTTTTTTACTTAAGTACATAATTATAGATCATCAAATAAATTAAATTGCAAATTTTTAACAGCAGCATTTCATAACTTGTTTAAACATGTGGCAGCGTTTTAAATGTAGAATTAAAATCCACAGGCTATTTCAAGCTTTGACAATAGTGCTGGAATAACATGCAGAAGTGTATGTTTGTAGCAGACCGGAACTAAAGTACTTTAATATTTGGATATTTTATTTTAACCACGCAAATGGTGTTACGTCATTAGTCCCCTACCAGTTTACCGGAGGGGACTTTAGGTTAACCCTCCGTCCGTCTGTCTGTCCGTCCGTCCGTCCACAAAACTGGATCCCGCAATAACACAAAAAGTACTGAAAATATTTTAATGAAACTTGATATATGGATAGATGGCAGTATGGAGATTATGCACGTCTTTTTCTTTTCTTCCTATGTTGAAAATTCTGGTTTTGCTATGGCAACAAATAGACTGAAAATATGGCAAATTTTACACATAACCTGGATCCCGCAATAACGCAAAAAGTACTGAAAATATTTTTATGAAACTTGATATATGGATAGATGGCAGTATGGAGATTATGCACATCTTTTTCTTTTCTTCCTTTGTTGAAAATTCTGGTTGCTATGGCAACAAATAGACTGAAAATATGGCAAATTTTACACATAACCTGGATCCAGTGATAACACAAAAAGTACTGAAAATATGTTTATGAAACTTGACATATGGGTATATGGCAGTATGGAAATTATGCACATCCTTTTCTTATCTTCCTATGTTGAAAATTATGGTTGCTATGGCAACAAATAGACTGAATTTCAAGATTTCTGATTCTAGTTTTTAAGTTTTTTCACTATAAGTTCTTTATTTCATAAGGTATTTTCTTCAAACTTTAAATATAAGTTGCTTGTAATCAACCACATCATATGTGACAAGATTTACAACTCTAGCACAAAATTTATCAGAATTACCTCCCTTGAACTTAAAATTTTCATGAAAAACATTGTTTTTTTTTTTTTTTGATAACTTCTTTTTCTGAATGTATCTACTTCAAACTTCATATTAATGTTTCTTATTATCACTCAACATTTGTGAGTGTTCAATACTCTAGCAAGACTTTTTCCAGAATTATGCCCCTTTTGAACTTAGATTTTTTTTTTGAGAAATTGGTAATTTTTACTCCAACTTCATTAATCATGATAGGATTTTAAAAATGTTATATTTTGATAACAGGGATGTTTAAAAAATAACTTTAGAGTGTCCTTCAGTCCGTCTGTCTGTACATAAAAACTGTTTCCTGTGATCACTTTTAAAGAACTTTTTCAACAAATTTACTTAAAATAGGAACATAAGTGAATGGCCAATGGCCCTTCAGAATGTTGCTTGGGCTCTTACCCGTAGGGGACTTATGGATTGCTTGCAATACTATGATAATTGCTTGTTTTTCTTATCATTTGGTTTAAACAGTATTTATTTTATAAAGTTCAATCATATACAATTATGATACAAAAGCATGATATAATACAGGATTGAAAAGAAAGTCAAAGACTGATGTGAATTTATTTCCAGCATATGCTCAGTAACAACACATATCAGTACACTAGTTACTTTCAATGCATAATTACAAATGAGTAATAATAGCACAACAAACAAAAAGAAGAAAATAACAACTAATGTGCAATCATATTGAATTGTTATTTGTAAGTGTAAGCGTGGAGGAAAATAATCTTATCATTTAATATTCATGTAACCTTGGTATATACATGTATGACAAACGTCACATGATATCAAACTTGTTTGATCATTATTTACACCCAAAACAAACTTACATCCACGCAATTATTATACAGTCATCTTTTTTTTTTTACAACTATCGTTCCACAATAGTTATTGACAGTTGGCCTGCTCTTAAAGATAGTTCAAACAAAACAGTTTTAACGAAATCAAATCTGCAAATCTATAAAAACTTTTAAGTATCAGTGATAAAATGCCTAAACATGCAAACTAAATAATTGTACAACTTGCATACTAAATTCATTCATGAAGAAATTGTCTCCTGCATCTTCATATTTTATTTCAAAAGAAACTCATAAATTAAAACCACCAATTCAATGCTTACAGCAAAGCATCTCCTGATAAACATAATTTTTGTACAAAACATAAATGAGCCGCATCACGACAAAACCAACATAGTGCGATTGCTACCAGCATGGATCCAGACCAACCTGCACATCCGCACAGTCTGACCAGGATCCATGCTGTTCGCTATCAGTTTATCTACTTGCTATAGGGTTTGTAAGCGAACAGCATGGATCCTGATCAGACTGCGTGGATGCGCAGGCTGGTCTGGATCCATGCTGGTCGCAAACCCATTATGTTAGTTTTGTCGTGACACGGCTCAAATCAACCAATAAACTCAATCTGCCATAATATAACAATATTGTCAAACTAAATCTACTTGAAAATTCATTTAAATTGCAGGGCATGAATTTTCATGGTTTTGTCAAAAAAAGATCTTAAATTATGGAGTGTCTGTTTGTGCACACATAATTCAAGTAAAATGCAAATAACATGATTAAATTGTACAGCAGACGAAATAAGATTTCATTGGATCTTAAATTTGTGGATTGAACCAAACAGGACAATTAGTGCCCAGTGAATAATAATGTGTATTCCATTAAAAAGCGTGGGTTGCAAACTACTAAGTTATACAAGTTTTCAGAATTTAGACTTTAGCATGTCAATATTTTCTAACTTAAAGCTCTACTGACATGCGTTATATGTGTCACAACTATAGACAGCTTTATATGTTTGTAACAAATTGATCATAACAATAATAGGAAATCAGAAGCCTGAATAAATCTGTCACGCAAAATGTCATCGATAGCTGACTCTAATGCAAATTTTTTAATTTCATTCATTCTTTGATAATTCTTTTTTTTTTTTTTTAATTTGATCTCTTTGGTGGTCTGAAACCATTATTTATTGGCCAGCTTTGGCATTTTGTTTCATCTTTCAAATAAAAAGTGTTTTTTTTTTATATCTCTATGTTTGCCATCGTGGCAATTAGTTTTTTTCCTCTTTTATTTAACGAGATCAAGAATTGACAAACAGACATTTTCCCATGTTGTTTTCAAAACATATTCCCCGTTCTCCTCCGTCCATAATATTCGGGCATTCCTGCGGTAAAGTTGCTTCATAGCTAGGGGCATCAAATCCAAGTTGACTTTACCACACAGCATTAGAATGATTGGTTTTCCATGAAGGAGGGCTTGATCAAATTCACTTCGACAATACATACTTGTACAGTAGGAATCTGTTACCATGATAACCATTGTACAAATCCTGTCTAAGCTTGAGGCGATTTCATTGTGAATCATTTGCCCGGGATGAAAGCACCGATCACCTGTACACACAAGGTCACGATTAATTCCGGTGATTTGTTGAAGTGTTTGGTTCATTTGTTTCAATACATTCGCATTTACAAATCTTTCATCATCACTACTGTATCCAAGAAATGCCACATATTCGTACATGTTTTCTCCGACTCGCAGGTTTTTGAGAACTGTGTTCCTGTGTTTGAGTTTTTTCATTGTTTTTCTTTTCTTGTATACTATAATTGAAATAATTAGTATAACCAGTAAGAAAAAGCCAGTTGTCAGTGAGGATGCTAAGATGATCACTTTTCTTTGACATATTCTTTGTATGTTTTGTAAGATTTGAACATCGATAAATTCTTGTTGTCCATCTTTGTTGCGACATTGAAGTTTTTGATTGGTTATTTTTGTTTTAATGGCTCTCCAAAACCATTTGATAGAAGCTTTGTCTTGGCAAGTACTGCAGGATAAAGGATTGGATCTTAGATTGATATGTAATTTTGGGTCACTTTGATGAATGAGTATATTTAGGTTGTTCAGTGAGTTTTCATTTAGTCGCACAATGTTGTTTCCTTCAAGATTCAACACTCTTAAATGAACTAAGTTTTTCAGGTCGAAGTTCACCTGTTCCAAGTTATTCTTAGATAGGTCAATTGTTTCAACATTGATGTTGTTTTGAAAAAATGTTACTGGTATTTCTTTAAGCCCATTGTTCGACAAATGGACTTCTTTTAAAAGATGGAGAGGACTTAAAAGTGTTTCGAAATCTGAACGGTTCTCTTTTGCCATTTGATGTAGTTTATTTCCTGAAACTTCAACAGTTTTCAAATTTGGAAATATTGCTAGAAAACTTGGATGCACAAAGTCTATCAGGTTATTATTCAGGGCTAGCTTCTTAAGAGTTTGAACTGAAAAGTTGCCAGATACCACTCGGAAGTCAAGTCTTCCTAAGTTCATTTCATTCGCAATTAACTCTTCAGTTGTCCATATGAGAGGCTTCAGAATAATGAAAGTGACATTTTCTATCCAAAGCAAATTTCTTTCTGTGTAAATTCCACTAATGTTTAATATCTTTGTGGACAGCAATGCTGTTAAAATACCATTACCTAGAATATCTGATGAAATTGATATATATGACAAATGTATTTTTCCTGGATAGACAAAATCAGCTGGTAGTTTAGCGTAACTTAAGTCCACTGATGTTAACTTGGTTTTACAGTTTTGACTTGTCAATCCATTTATATTGGCATTACTGATTATAGTATCGGAAATGTTCAGATATTTTAAACCTGTTGATACTGTGAACATTTCAGTAAAGTTAAATACGCTTACTTGAGCTGTGTTGGCATCAATCTTCGTAATAGGCTTTTGAAATAAAACATGAAATAATTCAGAATCGAATTGAAGATACTCTGGGTCCATGGAAGTACTGGCTTGAGACAAATTTATTGTTGTTAAGTTTGGTACTTTGTTCCTTCCCCACAGAGCTGTTTTTAATGACACTATACTAAGCCTTGAGCATCCAGTAAAATCTAGAAGCCGCAGTTTATCCAAACCCTCAAATGCCGTTTCTGAGATATAAATATTGTCCGATTGTAGATGAAGCTCCTGTAACTGTACTAATGAGTAGAAACATTTTGAATGTAGAGCAAGATATGGAATAATTTTTAAAGAAAGGCTTGTAGTTTTAATTTCTAAATTCTTCACGAGAGTCCATGTATTAGAGTGAAAGGTTTCACGATCACATTCAATGTCATTATAGTTATCTTCAATATATACACCTGTGACGTTCTCTGGTATTTCTTTCGGTAAATAATTACACCTCAGCATGAAACCTGATTGTTGGCATCTTTGTTGAAGATTGATGACATTTTCACTTAAATCAGTCGAATCTTTCCCATTGATATTTCCAAGCATATGAAATATGAGAAGAAAAATTAACATATCCATTTTTTTTCTGACAAAAAGAAAAAAAAAAATTTTCTCATTACTTGATTTTCAAAAAGTGTCTGGCATTCAAATCAATTAAAATGCAGCAAAAATTTTTTTTAAACCGTCATTTTAATATAGTTTTGATCACAAAGTGTTCAGGCTGGATTGAAATTAACAGGAAGTTTTGATTAAATGATCAATGTAAAACAGTTAAGAAATGCATTGTAATTTGTATAAAAACCAACAAAGTTGGTAAACTGCCACTTAATTGCTATTACATAATTACATAATTTATGTTCCTTCACTTGGCTATTGAATATCATGTATGACAATGTAAATCTTGGACTCTGTCCAGATGATTGAAATAAAATCTTTATAAAATTTAAAATAAAATGCAAAATAATTATATCAATTACTGTAATTATCCCCAGGTCTGTTTATCACCTAAACTTCTTCCTTGTTAATAATGGATTGAGAAAAAATATCTGCTTGTTTAAGACAAGGTGTAGGAAATTTCTGCAGAAATCAAAGTGCCTGAGAATAGGTTAACCCATAACCTACTATATTTCTATATTGGATCTGTCCAGCTTTGCTTTGAATTTGAAACAGTCCATTCAAAGTTCAAGGGATTTCAATATCAAAATACAAAAATTGAACAGTTAATATATAGAGCCTGGTCAGACTACATGGATGTTGGTTTGACCTTCACATTTAATTGTCTTTGACACTGAAGGACACATTAAAAAATTGATTTGAATCGTGTATAACAGTGATTTATGCACAGATATGATTAATATTTGAACCCAATTAAATGCTGGACAACATCATCATACTGTCTTATGTGAATCTAATTTAAAACTTTAAATGATCTTTTAGGGTCTCTTTTTACTTTTAAAATTTGCTATAAAGGATCAAACTTTTAAATTGAGTTATTCATAATGAGACAATGACCTTTAACTGAGTTTCACTAATAAAGGCCTCTATCATTGTTTTTAGCTCGACTATTCGATAAGAATAAGTAGAGCTATTGCAGTCACCCGAGCGTCGGCGTCGGCGTAACCACTTATGTTAAAGTTTTTGTAATAGTTCAAATATTTTCAAAGTCCATTGACATATGGCTTTGAAACTTTGCACACTTGTTCACCATCATGACCCCAACCTGTAGACAGGAGGAGGTAACTCTATCAAGCATTTTGACAGAATTATGCCCCTTTTTCGACTTAGAATTTACGTTAAAGTTTTTGTAATAGTTCAAATATTTTCAAAGTCCATTGACATATGGCTTTGAAACTTTGCACTCTTGTTCACCATCATGACCCCAACCTGTAGACAGGAGGAGGTAACTCTATCAAGCATTTTGACAGAATTATGCCCCTTTTTCGACTTAGAATTTCCGTTTAAGTTTTTGTAATAGTTCAAATATTTTCAAAGTCCATAGACATATGGCTTTGAAACTTTGCACACTTGTTCAACATCATGACCCCAACCTGTAGACAGCAGGAGGTAACTCTATTAAGCATTTTGACAGAATTATGCCACTTTTTCGACTTAGAATTTACGTTAAAGTTTTTGTAATAGTTCAAATATTTTCAAAGTCCATTGACATATGGCTTTGAAACTTTGCACACTTGTTCACCATCATGACCCCAACCTGTAAACAGGAGGAGGTAACTGTATCAGGCATTTTTTTTACTATCAAGCACTAAGAATAGTCGAGCATGCTGTCCTACCGACAGCTCTTGTTGCATTTGATATTATATATAAGACAATGTCAGGTTTGACCCCTTTTTGTGGTGGCTTCTGTTTTAGGGATAAAACCTATTTGCTGGGGTATTTATCACTTTCGGTTATAGTTCTAGTTTTTCTTAGAAGTCACTATATGCCAATAATATATTTCTGTTTATTTTTTGCAGGATGCTTCTCCAGTATCTACTACCACACAGGGTGTAGCGCAAGAAGACTCTAATGTTTCACTGAAGTCAAGGCTCGGACCCATACCACCAGCAAGCAAAATGCAATTGAATAATCTCATTAAAAAATCCACAGAAAATGCGGTGACATCAGATACTTCCCCCACTGTGACACACGCAGAACAGGTATAAATGGTTATGTCTAGTATTTCAGGGCAGTTATTTTACAATTTTGCTGAAGCGAATAAAAGCCTCTTCCCCTCTTTAAAAAGATTTTTTTTTTCTCCCTTATATCACTGATTCAATTGATTAATATTGACATAAGTTCTGAGCATTATGAATAAGTTTGAAAAATTTGTAAGTTAATTGAAAAGTTTTATTAATTACCTCTCAGCACAAAATATGGTAATAATAGTGAGAATTTGTGAGAAAATAACTGGTCACTTTTGTTTCATAAGTCAGTCAGTCATTCAGTCGATTTCCTAGTTCCCTCCACCCCCACCCCCTTGATGCCTCCAACATAATAGCTAGAAAGTCCCTGTAATAGGTACATGTACGTACATATAATTGAATTGTATTAACCTTTTTTATCATGGATCTGACTTCAAAACACCTGCATTTCTGTGCTTGCTAAGGGTTTGATACCTGTTGGGGACTAGGGGTTCGTGTACATGAGGGACCTCTCTAGCTGGCTTATACAGGACTGCATGGAGGGGCCCTGAGATCTAGAGGTTCCTTATGTGACATAAAACCCGGTCTCAGGAAAATCATGAATTGAAACCCACTTTCCAAAATATCAAAAAGAAAACACACACAAAAAAACTACCGAATCCAAATGTTTGTTAAAGAATGATAATGCAAAGGGAAAAAATTGAAACCAATTATAAGTTTTTAGTGTTTTTGTGTTTAGTTTATAGGAGAAAAATTGGCTTGACTATTTTTCCATTGTTTCAGAGTATATCATATATTACAACTGGAATTAGTAAGACTGTTTTCAACCCAGCTGCAGCAGCAATGGCTGCACGGGCCAAGGCTCAGGCTTCATTGTCCAGTCCTACAGCTGTGAAAGCGGCAGACTTTGTATCTAAAATGGAAAAAGTTAAACAGATGGATGCTATGAAGAAGGTTTGTAAAGACTTTTAGCATATGTTTCTCACATGAGGTACAGGTCTGCTCAATTAGTATTCTGATAGGAGAAAGAGAACTGTGTAGAACATGACCCTATGAACCTTTGACAGCTTAACCACTGGGCCATTACGCCACTTTAAACCTTTTCTTGTTATTATCTGCATCTTTTATTGTTGATTTTAGCTGTTTCTTTATATCTAGTAACTTTACTTTCACTGTAAGATGGTTTTATAGGACTATCTTCATGGTATATTTACTTGATAAAAAGTGCAAGTCGCTTCCATTCCAAGTTGTTAATATCACTGACTTCAAAGCATTTGACCCTGGATGCCGTTGGTTCAAATCCCTTAAGGATGAGAAATATATACATTTGTATAGCTAGCTAGACAGCCTAGGAAAGATTGTTGTTCTACATGAATGCCCACTCATGCCTGAAATAATATGTGTGTAAAGACTGTTTGATAAACATACTTCGTAAATCCCTTTAATTAGAAATGGATATTTCTAGATCTAAAGAAAGGCAAGTTAATTTCTGGAAATCTAGGGTGTATATATTAATTATTTTGGTCATTTTACTTTCAGGAGGCTGCAGCTAAGAAGTTAGAGATACAGAAAAATAAGCAGGATCTATTGAAGAGGCAGATTGAACAACAAAAGGTGTGATTGTTATTTATTAGTAGTTTATATTTTACACATGTTACCAATGCCTGAATTGACATACCAAGTGCATCCTGAATTGCCTAATATTAGTAAAGTAAAGGTTTATTTTTTGATTGACCTCAAGCTTGTGCCTGAAATATTAAAAATGCATAGAGGGGCACCTGAGATCTTCCTTCCCCTGTAAAGTTTGAAAGTTGCTGTATGATAGTAATGGTGCAGGTTAACAAAAAAGAAGGAAAAGATGAAAACCTCTGTTTACAAACTTGATTATGAGTTCACTCTTTTACCCCACTTTTTAAATCTGAATTTGTCTGCATATCTTTCTGACTTGAACTGCATTTTATTTTCAGAAACTGATAGCAACATTAGAGAAAAATAAAGACATGAAAGAACCAAACAAGAAAGCTATTATGGAGGTAACCATGCATCTATTTTCTATTTTTATCACCATGGTGATATACTGATACAAACTGATATACATGTATCTACATACTGACATACCATGATCCAGCATTGTCAAATTTTAATTTGTCCATTTTAAATTTGGTGAGCATTCACATACAACAAAGAGTGTTTTGAGGGGGCCACAAATGCATTTGAGACAATCATTTTAGCCTTCAGCTACCTCCTTATAACCTTGAAAATCATGATAAGAGTTAAGAATTTCTGATTATTGTTATACTTGTCATTCTTGATATTTAACAGAACTATGGCCTTTTTGAATTTAGAAAATTCTACATTATCCAGGCTCCAAGCAGAGAACAGTTGAACATGCTGTTCTACTGACAGCTGTTGTTCACATTTTCCTTACCGTAACGCCATGTTTTTCATTTTCCAAATTGTCATCAATGAGCATCCATCATTGTTAAAAATATTCTTATACACCTTTTTTCCAGACCTTAAAGACATTAAGTAACAGTATAGATAAGTTAAAGACAGAGTTAAGTACCGGTGGTATAGGATTAAAGCTGGAGATAGGAGGGCTGCCGGTGACTGGCATTACTGTGAAATCCCCGGAGCAAGCTAAGAAAGAGATCTTAGACATGGAGCTGGAGCTGATGACGAAACCTTCGACAGGCGAGGAGACGTTAGAACTGAAGAAAAAATTGAACGAGCTTACTAAAGTGGTACGTAGATTCAATACATTTGTGTGGTAAAGGGACTCCACTGAGAGAGACAGGACTGGAAATAATTTAGATTAGTCTAATGCTTCATTAGATGAAGACGTAGACCAATAACTTGTGTTCAAAATTTCAGATCATTTGCTCACTCTGTTTTTCCAGGATATTTATTCTTATTTTGAAAAATGACCTAAAATTAGAAAGCGTTGCACCGTTTTTCACTCAAATCAGACTAAATTTAACATGAAAATGTGATTTTCAATTTATTTCAGAGTATATTGCTTAATTTATTACCTTTTGCATTTCTTTCGTTTTATGTGCCCCAGCTGTTCTTTGTAAGAATATCAAATTTCATATTTTTAGGCTTTTGGATGTCAGTGGAGTTCCTTTATAGTTTGAATATATGGGAGTATCTTAAGAATAGTTTCAATTTACTTTAATATCAGATTTCAAATTGTAAACATTTTAAGATCTTGTTATCAAACATACAAAGCATATTTAAAGTTGGTGCCTTATTTGTCAAGAATTTCAGTGAGCTGCCAGATAGCTTGTAATAAAAATAGATAGAGGTTTTATTAAGATAATGTAAGTACCTATATTGGGTTCATATTAAACAATAGGCATTTATTTTAAAGCTAGATAACATGCACATGAAATTTTACAGGGCCAGTAAACGAGATTTAAACGGAAGAAAAAAGTTGTGGCTATTTTCAAATTTTTGTCATGTACTTTATTAACCATGTTTCTATAGGCAAATTCTATGGGTATACTTGGGCGTGGCAGAGGGAGAGGAGCTGTAGCTCGAGGTCGCGCAGCCACTACCTGGGTGGCCAGTGGTATTACCCCACCAGCTGGTCCTCCTGCCTTTGGAAGAGGAAGGGGCCGTGGTGCTTTGTTTGGAAAGGCTGGAGCAGCTATAAGGACCCTGGATAGAAGACCAAAAGTTGTGGAGGTGATGGGATTTGATGCGGAAGAGCAAGAAGAAATCACTAGTCATTTAAATGTAAGATTTATAGAAGATTACAGCTATAAATGAATAAGATTTCCACTTAAAGTGTGACAATTGAAGAATAGGGAGAGCTCTTGTACTCACACCAGCGTCAGCAACACACTTTTGTAAGTTATATGCAAGACTGCAAGCTGGTATCCCCGAAACTACTGAAGAAATAAATGGGTTAAAACTATGCACACTTGCTTTCTATGATTATCTAACATGATGGGCACAGGTCCCTTAAATCTTTGAGTTATCAGTGTGCAGAGTTATGCCCCTTTTCTTAGTGTCTTGCACTGAGAATAGTAGAGCATGTTGTCTTCCAGACAGCTCTTGCTACAAAAATATATCTGTGAAATTGAATTTTTTTTTATAATTTTAGTTGTGAATTAGAAATATTTACAATATTTGGTTTAATTCTATGGTATTTGATTTGTATAACAATGAAATCCAGTGAAATCTTAAGATAAAAACTGTAACTTGTTCAATTACAGGAATTGAAGGAAGTGGAGAAAGTGGAGCTCAATATGGACATTCCCAGTGCAATAGTGACATTTAAAACACGCAGGGCAGCAGAAATGGTATGATTTTTTTTATAACACCTGTTGGTGTTTGTTTTGTTTTTTATTATTGAAACATTAAGTTTTGACCCTTAGGAATATTTTTATTGCTAATTCAAATTAATTAGCATTGTTAAGACAAAGATTTTTTTTGTATGGAGCAAGTATGCACTAGATTGCTTTATACAGAGTGGCTGGGTTGAGGAGGTTGCTTGCCTGATACATTGAACGGGAAAGGAGTGCTACTTTAGGCTCATTGCAAATTAGAGCATGAATGTTGCCATAAGAACTTCCGTGTGTGAGATCCAGCCATTTTGTAAACAAACAAAATAAGAATAATTTTCCTCCTTTCATCTTTTAAAAGGCATATCTAAGTGTTAATTCCTTGACATACTGTGTTATTTCAGGGTATTTTACACGGTGGAAAGTTTAAGACGAAAATGTTGAAGATGAACTGGCATATACCTAAGCCAGACTTCTCAAGGAGTATAAGTTCTTTATCTGCAGACTCAGAGGATCATGAGGTTTGCTCAGTTTTCTTTTTTACTGGTTTATGAAATGTTGCTTGTTTTATCTCGCTTAAGTGGACTCCGTGGTGCAGTTGGTTTAAATACATGATATTCGTCACATACAAGAACATTTTTACATACATGACATTGACAATCTATACAGATGGTGCAGTTTTTGAGATATCTGACTTTGTTTGACCATCACTGTTTTTGGAATAAAATTCTGCTAGGGGCTTTACTTTGAATAAGAGGAAGCTATCTGGTCTGCCTACATTAGGTCAGTGTGTCTACTCCAGTGCCAACTTCTGATTAATATGTTGTTTGAAGGGGCATTTGAGGTCTGTCTTCACCAGGAAAGCTGGATAATCATCATATTGCCGGGACAGTTTGATGTAAAAATATATTTTAAACGTTTTCCTATATATAAAGCATTTGGTTGGTCAATGGATCATATAATAATATTTTGCAACCCCCCAAGTTATTCATCTTTTCTGTAGCAAATTGGTGAAGTGCTGAATGTTTAAAGTAAGGTTTAAACTTGTACCGAGTCTGTGGTTGTTTGTTCAATTCAGTCTGCTTATACGTGAAATTATAGTAATAATGGGGCATCCATGGCTGAGTGGTAAGGTTCTAGACTTCAGACCACTTGCCCCTTACCACTGTAGGTTCGAATTCTGCCAGGGATTTCTTGTGAGAAAGCTATTAAGCTAGCTTATGGAATGTCTATGGTTCTACTAGGTGCCTGTGCGTGTCTGAAATAATGCACGGAGGAGTACCTGAGGTCTTCCTCCACCAGTTAAGCTGGAATGTCGCCATATGACATCTTGTGTGTTAGTACGACATAAAACCCAACCAACCTGAAATAGTGCATGGAAAAGTATCTGAGGCTTTCTCTGCCACTAAGGTAGGTTTGTCACCATATGATCTAAACAATGTTGTCGTCATTTAAATATGATTCAGGTAAGGAAAAAAAATCATATAAAAATGTAATTTCTAAGGCTCATTCACTTTAAAATTATATAATTGTTAACAGGAAATAGACGAGGAAGCACTGTTAGCCGGGGTGGAAGACGAAGAGGAGGAAAATGAAGAGGAAAGATCATGGCGACCTTGACCTGTGGGTGATGACATAGACAACTTTTGACCTTTTTTTAAAAATTATTAAAGACATTTGGTTGTTAAAAAAACAATTGTGCTATTTATTTTGATGCCAATCACTAGTTTTGTGTGCCATCTACAAAAAATGATAGGTGTATATAAATGAATGTACTTTTATGTAAAATAATATTACTTCCTGCTTATAACTATCAGAAATCTCTGTTACTCAACACTTAACTGCAATTATATGCTTTCATAAGAAGGAAGTACGGTTTATGACCTCTTTATTTAAGTTGATGCATGTTTTTTTTGTGAATTTTATATATTATATCTTCATAATATTAATGATGGAATAGAATGTGTTGATAAAAATGCATTTTATAAAATGCATTTTTTTCTGTGTGTTCTTTATCATTATATTAATGTTTCTTATTAATTGAAATTATAAAATATATGTGTTTTTTTTTCAAATATGTGTAAAGTTAAATAGTGAATAGTTAAGGTGAAGAGTATTAGTTGAAAATGATGCAAATTTGATGCATTTAAACAATTTACAGAATGGTACAACTTCAAAGTTTATTGTAGCATAAAAGTGATAGTTCAAAGACATTGTTAAACATTCTAATGTGCATGGTTATGTTAAAAAACTCTTATGTACATTGTAGCATTTGAATTTAAGCTTGCTTATAAATTGAAGAAAATGTTTTCTTCTATGATGGGATGTTTCTTGTTGTTGTTGGAATTTTTTTGTGTTTTATTATTTTTTTTCATTGAGCACTGACAGAGATAAGCTGTTTTGTAAAGACATTTGTTAACTATATTTTGTAGTATTGGCTTGTAAACATTGTCTGTCACAATACAAGGGGGATTAATTATTTCTTGAACCCTCAGCTGGCTGGTGGCCACAGATCTATCTCCTGCACCAGTGCAGACCTGGACTAGCCGGCATATATGTTAGTGCCATCTGACATCATATATGCCATCTTGGTCACGGCTGCACTGTTTCGCTAATCACCAAGTGCATGTTTTGAAATTTGAAAAAAAATATAATAATAATAATGGTTTGGAGTGTTAAGGGTAAAAGAAGCTGGGTGATTTATTATAGAAGGAGGGTTTATAAGTACCAGCCAGAAAGGGATGTAAAGGAAATTGTCCGATTCTTTACCAACTGGTCAGGTCCTAATGAAACCCCTGCAATATCAAGTTATGATTTCTGTATTCTAAAATAAAAATAAGTTCAAAGCTTTGAAAGAAAAAGAGAAACAAAATGTTTAAAATAGCTCACATGTTGGTATTGCTTTTTGTGACAGATAATGGAGTATGAATGTATTTTAATTTTTTTTTCTCGATTGAACATCTTATGATATGCTATTGATTTTGAAAAAAAAAAGAGAAGTTGAAAAGATTGAAAAAGAAAAGATATTTGGAGAAAAAAAAATATCTAAGGAAATGTTGAAAAGAAAAAAAAGAAATTGACTGTAGAAAAGATATTGTTAACAAAATGTGTATATAAAATGAATGAAAAGATGTGGTTTGAATACCACCAAACAGAATAAAATGAAAAAAAAAAAAAAAAAAAATCCCGAAAGAAGTACCTTTCAAATTATTGTCAGTGGAATTTATTCCACACAAACAAATGCAGCAGTTATCCATGGTGTGGTGCTAATGTATACTACAATGTGTAGAAGTTGTCAATGGTAAGAGGAACGCTGGAAGTTGCTATGAATCATTTACGGAAAACGAAACAAACAAATTTTTTATCAAAAGGTAAGTGGACAGGTAAGTGATTATAGCTTTATATTATAGTATGGTTAGCATAAATGATAAACATTTAATGGATCGTAGTACTAAAATTCTTATAATTTTCAACATTAACTTTATTTCTTCATGACAAGATATGACATTTTGTTCGTATTTTTGTGTACTAAACAACGAGTACAATAGATTGATAATTAAGTAATTATTTTCCATTTGGATAGTACAGTACACAATCAGATATTGCAATCGGAGAAAACTACTGAAATACTAATAGAATGTCATATCTTGTTACTAAAAACTAAGATCTTGTTTAGAATTTTTTTTTAACTAAAGCTAATTTCGGTTACTGGTTTTTGAGTTTCCTAACCAGTTTTTAGCTGAAAACCGCCTGTACCCATTTAAACAGGAAACCCCAACTTTATATCCCTAGAACATCACCAACATTTTCAGCAAATGAAATAAAAGGACAATAGTAAAACATTGTAACACATAACCATTGAAAATGTATGTAATGCTCTGATTTAAGTTACTCATTATCAAGGAAGAATTCACTCTGCCTTCCCTTTCCCCTTAATTACTCAATACTTAATATGTTCTATAATTCTGATTATACTAAAGTTTGTGGGAATGTTTTGGTGCATCTGTACAAGTTTAGATATTATGAGTAATTTTGTTGCGGACATCACTTCAGTGTCTTACCATTGTACCTTTTTTTCAGTGTGAAATTACAACAGGAACATACTTTGGTCAAGGTCATGTGAGGCCAAAGGTAACTGTGTTTAGATTTGTCGATGTCTAATATTTTTCAGTAAAAACTTCATTGAAAAGATAATAGTAATAACACTAAAAACATTTAGCATATTCATACATACTCATTTTATTTTTCAAGACATATAAGGTTAAAACCAGCAGTTATGTTAACAGTTTATACACAAATGACTAGACAATACAGTTAATTTCAATGTAACATATAACAAAAACTTTACTGTTTGATCCACACAATTATGGCATAAACAATGACTTGCATGTGTACATTTATATTTGACATCAAGATTATGTTTTAGTCGATAAATAGCATGCTGTTTTGAATGACCGATATCAGGAAAACTTGTGTTAAAAACCACCTCCAAATAAAGATCAGCCTGAAAATAAAGACCATTTTTCAAAACTCCACTGATTAAAAAAAACAAAGTAACCTCCAAATAAAGCCCACTTGTCTATAAAGGTCATGTTTGGTCTCTCCATAGGATGATCTTTATTCACAGGTTTTACTGTATACAGACTTCCTGAACAGTTTCACTGTTTCTATTGTTTGATTTTTATTTCTAATAAAATAAAATGTCATCATACTGCAACCTCTATTTAAAAAATGCAATGTTTCACCACTTCTTAAGAATAGCATAGATAGCATATATTTTGATTATTGTAACTGTTTTTGATAAATTAATTCTTCTATAAGCTGTTTTGATATTAAATGCAAGTTCTGTTCTTAACAGTAAGTTGCGAAGCTTTGATTTGTTTAAACCCTTAATCAGCTAACTAAAACTGACTGGCTTTTGCCAGCTGGATACAGCCAGGCTAGCTTGCACATCTGTGAAGTCTGACCAGATGAATCAAATTTGCTGAATGTAGGGTATGAATTATTTTTCTGTGGGATATGAATTCATTTAAACAGAATTCTATTTGTTTCATCTTTATTATGAATCAAAATTTTTCCATTTTAGATCATTTTCATTTAAATCTCTTACCCTTAAATAAACAGTACAGGCAATCTCATTAAAATCATATCCTAATTGACGTTCCACCGTCTTATGCTTCCTAGCGTAAAGTAACAGAGTGAAAACTATGATCTGATTGTAATAAGATAGCCAGTACTGCTGTTGTGATAATCTTAAACAAATTGCTGTGAGGAAAGTATGACTCCACCCAAAATTCTTATGATCCAAAAGCAGACGCCTTCACCAATAGGCCACAACCATATTAATAATACATTTCTTCTACATCATTATTACATACAAAAATTATATTTCATTCTTTTTAAAAATTATTTCCAGATAAAGGGTATGTGTAACTATAAAAAATACTTCAGTTTAATACAACTTATTAATCAGACACAAGGCCTTAAAATTATCTGGTGAATTGCCCATATGGGTTTATGGTAATAAAAATAAATAAACCTATATCACTCAAACTTAAGAGTTACATCCAGTCAAAAATTTGGTGGATCAAACAGTAAAGTTGATTAAAACTCGACAAAAATGAAAACAATAACCTGGAAGACAGAAATATGTAACAATTTAGTCCCTTTTTAGCTCACCTGAGCTAGCTCCGAGTGAGCTTTTATTTGATTACCTATCAATTAAATTCTAATACTGACACTACAAGCTGTTTTGAAGAATTATTAACATTTAAAAAATTCTCTATTTTGACTATTTTCCCATTTGATTATAGAGGGTTTTCTATATCTATATCTTTTTATATAACCATAAAAGGTATTATTTTAATTCAATAATAAACTTGTAACAAAATTTATTATATCTCAATAGAAATTCAAAATGATTGAATTTAGTTAACAAAAATTTGTAATTTGGTCATACAAAATGTACTTAGCATATTCTAAACAATTACTGTAAATATGGTAATTATTTTATATAAGTTAAACATCACCAATCTATAAAAAAAATTTTACCTTGCTTTGATAAATATTCAGTAAGCATAAACAAAAAAGTAAATTATCATTTAAAAATCCAATAAGTATGGCTGCATTTTTATCGGTATTAAGTACCTGTGGTCATGATTATCTGAAAAAAAATTGTGATGAAAGTACGACCTTACGATGACAGGTGTCATTGTGAAAACAGATCCTCATTTTATTAAATTTCAACTTAAAACAAATTCAATCATTTTAATGAATATATTTTTATGTACTGTAAAATTAAGAGAAAAATATACAGATGTTATATTCAGATGAAGTGGTATGTACTGGAAAAAAATATTTGCCAAGACAATAGCCTGGGTCAATATTAATATTTCAGTACCTATCACATCATATACATTTGCTAAAAAATCCATATCTGTTTTATTATATAATTCATAAACAACTCTTGTAAAGCTTATCAAATCTGCCGCTGGTCTGGATCCATGCTGGTCGCAAACGCACTGTGTTGGTTTTGTTGTGACGCGGCTCATATTTCAAATGAACACATAGGAATGCAAAATCGTAATGTTCCTAAATACAAAATTAATACAGACTCAAATGATAATAAACTAGTTTTAGGAAAAAATTTGTGAATATACATGTACTTTGAAACTGACCTGTTAATTTTTTAAATAAAGCTACATATTAACCAATCAGTAAAAAGCATTTCAAAGTTATTTATAGATTATATAATAAAATATTTCATTACACATTCAGTAAGTGTGGTTAACATAAAGAAAATTTATAAATTTTGTTCAGAACCAGAGTTTATAATTATATTCTATTTTCCCTGTCTTGTATATATATATACATGTGTACACAGTACACAATGACAAAACTTAACAATCTCAAATTATCTTTCATGAAATGAAAAGTAATGTATGAAATATATACAATATTATAATAAAAATCTCAAACTTAAAACATATGATTGTCATCAAACTAAATAAACATTAACCCTATAACAAACATCAAAAATTGTTATGTCACATAATTATAATAACAATAAACAATATAACTAACAGGAGCTGTCAAAACTAAGATACATGCTTGACTATTCACAATGCCAAACAGAAATACACAAAACATATACAGACATTGGATTTCATAAAGGGGAATAATTCAGCAAAATCAAGTTATATATCAAGTTAACATTTTTTTGTGTTTGTCAGTGACCTTCAATTATGACCTTCAAAAGATTTGTGGCATTTCACCTCTATGTCTTCAGCGTTATAGAGGCAAAAAACAAAACAAATTGTCACAAAGGGAAATAATTCACAAAAGGCAAAAGTTATGGGTCTTGGACAGTAAAATACAATATTGACAAGGGAAATAATTTACAAAATCTAAAAGTTATGGGTCTTGGACAGTAAAATACAATATTGACAAGGGAAATAATTTACAAAAATGTAAAAGTTATGGGTCTTGGACTGTAACATACAATACTAACCCCAAATACATGTTTGAAGTATCAAACAAACACTCTGAATGTGTGGAATGGCTGCAAAATGCTTGTAAGACCTTAAACAAGTGTTATACAAACAACTCTAGTGCTGTTTGCGGGACGGCAACAATATTCTTTGAATAGTGGAGCAAAAGTGACTCTTAAAATCTTAAGTAGACAAGTATTGGCAAAATCTTTGGCTTAATAATGAATGGTTAAAAAAACTTAACAAATTGTTATAAACACTTTAGTTCTTCAGGAGATAATGTTAACATTTTACAAAAAAAAAAAAATCAGTAAAGATGTAACAAAAAAACAACAGAATTTTTTTTACACAAAATGAGTAATGACCAAGTCACCTTTACAAGCAATTGCTTTGTATAAGGAGTTCCACATACAAATGTAATTAAGTATTTATTGAAAATGGTCCTCTTTTCCAATCTTTGATCAGATGGTATTTTAAGACATGTTTGCGATCCACAAAAGGAACTAATTTTTAAAGCTTAACGTTAATAATAACTGACCAATAATTGGCATGGATTTCTGTCATAGGTGGGGGCTACTGACTGATTTTTTGGTAAAAATAAATTCTTTTTAACATAATATTAATAAACCTACAGAAGTGGTTCTCTGTACAAGGCATGCTGATATAAAAAGACTGCTACTAAAGACTAGCAAAAAAATACAAATGTAACCCATATAACACATTTTTGAGATTCATACAAACATTGTAACCACATGTTCTTAAATAATAACATGCTAAATTGCATAATGGACTTGCTCTGTACAGAAATTGGAACCGTCCATTGTTTATTTTTAGCTCACCTGTCACAAAGTGACAGGGTGAGCTTTTGTGATCGCTTTTCGTCCGGCGTCCGTCCGTCGTCCGTAAACTTTTACTTTAAATGACATCTCCTCATAAACCACTAAGCCAATTTCATCCAAACTTCACAGGAATGTTCCTTTGGTGGTCACCTTTAAAAATTGTTCAAAGAATTTAATTCCATGCAGAACTCTGGTTGCCATGGCAACCGAAAGAAAAAACTTTAAATATCTTCTTTTAAAAAACCATAAGAGCTAGAGCTTAGATATTTGGCATGAAACATCTTCTAGTGAGTGTCTACCAAGTTTGTTCAAATAAAAGCCATGGGGTCAAAATTGGCCCCGCCCCGGGGGGTCATTGATTTTCCCTATATGCATATAGTAAAAACTTAAAAAATCTTCTTTTAAAGAACCCTAAGAGCTAGAGCTAAGATATTTAGCATGAAACATGTTCTAATGGGTGTCTACCAAGTTTGTTCAAATAAAAGCCCTGGGGTCAAAATTGGCCCCGCCCCGGGGGTCATTGATTTTCCCTATATGCATATAGTAAAAACTTAAAAAATCTTCTTTTAAAGAACCCAAAGAGCTAGAGCTAAGATATTTAGCATGAAACATCTTCTAATGGGTGTCTACCAAGTTTGTTCAAATAAAAGCCCTGGGGTCAAAATTGGCCCCGCCCCGGGGGGTCATTGATTTTGCCTATATGCATATAGTAAAAACTTAAAAAATCTTCTTTTAAAGAACTCAAAGAGCTATGGCTAAGATATTTAGCATCAAACATGTTCTAACAAGTGTCTACCAAGTTTGTTCAATTAAAGGCCCTGGGGTCAAAATTGGCCCCGCCCCAGGGGGTCATTGATTTTCCCTATATGCATATAGTAAAAACTTTAAAAATCTTCTTTTAAAGAACCAAAAGAGTTAGAGCTAAGATATTTAGCATGAAACATGTTCTAATAAGTGTCTACCAAGTTTGTTCAAATAAAAGCCCTGGGGTCAAAATTGGCCCCGCCCCGGGGGTCATTGATTTTCCCTATATGCATATAGTAAAAACTTAAAAAATCTTCTTTTAAAGAACTCAAAGAGCTATGGCTAAGATATTTAGCATCAAACATATTCTAATGGGTGTCTACCAAGTTTGTTCAAATAAAAGCCTTGGGGTCAAAATTGGCGCCGCCCCAGGGGTCATTGATTTTCCTTATATATGTATAGCAAAAACTTAAAAAATCTTTTTTTAAAGAACTCAAAGAGCTATGGCTAAGATATTGAGCATCAAACATGTTCTAATAGGTGTCTACCAAGTTTGTTCAATTAAAAGCCCTGGGGTCAAAATTGGCCCCGCCCCGGGGGTCATTGATTTTCTTTATATGTGTATAGCAAAAACTTAAAATCTTCTTTGAAAAAACCCAAATAGCTAGAGTTTAGATATTAAGCATGAAACATCTTCTAGTAAGTGTCTACAAAGTTTGTTCAAATAAAAGCCCTGGGGTCAAAACTGGCCTGGCCCAAGGGGTTTCATTGTTTTTAACTATATGTGTATAGTAAAAACTTAAAAAAAATCTTCTTTTAAAAAGCCCAATGAGCTAGAGCTTAGATGTTCAGCATGAAACATCTTTTTATGAATGTCTACCAAGTTTGTGCAAATAAAAGCCCTTGGGTTAAATTGGCCCTGCAACGTTGGGGGGGTTGGGGGGGCCTATATACAGGTGAGCGATCTCAGGGCCATCATGGCCCTCTTGTTTAGGGATGTTAATATCATAAAATTTAAAGCAAAAATAAGGAACCAGCAGCATGGAGCCTGGCCAGACAGCACAGAAGTGTAAGCTGACCTGGTTCTATAATAATGGCAATGGCCCATCAATGTGACCCACTGTGCAGTTATGTAAAATATCATGTCAGCATTGCATTTAAAACCCCCTCTCACTAATCTTGCAAACTTCATAGTGGTACGCTCTTCCCTTCCACTGTTTTCCTAGACTGCTACACCATCACTATCAGACTGAGTAGCTAAATAATCCCCGTCTGAAAAAATAGAACCAAAGTTTTATATATGACACAAAGGACAAAATAAACCTGATTTCCAAGTTTCTTATTTATTTTATTTTTTCTTTCAGCTGAAACACATGCTGTTATCAGTATTAAGAACAATAATCATAAAAAATAAATTGCAGTTATTATTTAATGAATAAATAAAGTTATAAATCTGAAAATACTCTAAATGGTGAATATAATTGTTAACAATTTCATGCAAATGAATGAAAAATAGAATCTTTTTAAATTCTAATACATGTAGTAATCTACAGATCGGTCGTGACAATAAAACTTGGCTTTCTATTTTTAAAAAGAAGACTGGCATCAACTTAGTTAAAAAAAAGAAAACCAGTCAAAACAACTCTATATTTTATTGTACAGTTATTCAAATCAAAAATATAATTTTATTTTTCAGAGCTGGTAATTATGATATCCAAGAGGATTGAAGAGAAAGAAAGAAATGTTTACAATGTTAGGTCAAGGAGAATAAGTTAGACACAAGTTATGCACAAGTTGGAGAATGTAGGGAAAAGGTCAGATAAGTTCCAAAAAGGAAAGAAAATTACAAGAAAGGTAAGGAGAAAAAGAGAAGATGGAATTATATATCTTAAATCAATAATATTTCAAAATAAACGAGTATAAGATGTAAGAGGGCATTTCAAACTAAATGACAGCTAGTGTATCACGATATTTTATTTATCAGAATGCTGGCAAACTAAACAAAAGTATAGTCAACCTTCATCACCCTAAATGACCTTAGCCTAATAACTGAAATTGAAAAAGGACACGAAAAAATAAGATGTGATACTGCAATTTTTTTTTTTATAAAATTCAAATTGTGACTTATTGGTCAATAATAAACCCATTTTTACCATTGCAATTTTTGCATATTTATTAAGGCTACATCATAACGTAATAAAATTTTCACTATTGCAGAAAGAAGTATCTTCAACCTTTGAATTAAAAGGAAACTGTCTAATTTCTTTTTTTTTAAAGGACTAGATTTAAATTTTGGAACTGTTTGGAGCTAGTCTGCCTGCTGGTCAGACTGCACAGATATTTAGGCTGGCCTGGCTCTATACTGGTGACAAGAACCAGTCCGCATAGCTCAAATCGGTTAGAGCACAAGATTTGTAATCTCGACATTGTGGGTTCGATTCCCGGGCTGGCCAACTGAAATAACAAATCAGTTTTTCAGATGAGACTTTAAATCGAGGTCCTGTGTATGAGTGCTTAAACAAACACTTAGCACGCTAACGAACCAGGAGAAGCTTCTCGAATTGTGGTATCTTTTTGTATGATTGTTTCTTGGACTTTCCTCAAAAATATAAAAAGACAAATACTTTTCTGGAGGACTTGCTTATATTGACTGCATTTTCATATTACTGAAAATCCAAAACACATAGATCTTTTGCAAAAGTAGATCTCGAAATACAACCCACATATAAACTTTAGTGTTATTAAGAAAGGCCCACAACATAATGTACTGGCAAATTTTTCATAGTAACATTTCTAAGACATTTTATGTTAATTAAGGTATATCCCATGCTTTCTTACGAATGACAAAACCCACAAATTGCAGTATCTTCCCCTGTATGTTGTTATAGTTTGTGGGGGGTTTAGATATCCTGTCCACATTTGGTACAAGTTTTTATTTTGGAAGACATGTTAAAACATTTTCACCCATTTCTTTTTCATATTTCTTTACCTTCCAAATTTTCTTCACTGACAGATAAACATAATATATATATATTAATTTTTCTATCCAAACAAATAATGAATTAACAATAATAATTTTTTAAAAACAGCATGCCTCTAGAACATTGTTTTACAATTGACTTTATGATAATTCATAATATAAGTAATAAACAAATTTGACAGGTTAAACTGTCCTATCTAAAACGGTTGTTTGTATATACATGTAACTTACCCAGCTAAGTGAGGGTTACCGTATATTACAAACAACCATTTATATAATTCCAGAGTATCTCTATTAATTAGGTATTTAAATATAAAAATTAGCCAAAGAATCTACCAAAGTTGAAGAAACACATACATAAAATATATTCAATATGTACTTTGTAACTTTACCATGGTGTATGGAAAAAGACAACACTAAAGAATTTCAATAATTTTTAATGGTGGCCCTTCTGGCTAGTAATCTTAGGATTGCAGACTGCATGGGATCAAATCCTTTCAAAGGCAAGCCCCTGTGTCCTTGAGCATCTTTAAGCTCATTGATTTAATAGTAAAGTTGGTTTCAGGATGTGTCTTTAAGCTTACAGCTTCTTTAAAACATCTGAACTAAAAACTTAGAAATAAATTCTGAATTAACTAAAACAAGATTGCATTTGAGAAAAATGCTATGCCACCGCATTAATACAACACTAAATAGTAGTGTAGGAACAGATTTTTTTTGTTTCTATACAATTTTGAAGATTGTCATAATGCATAGATCCCTGACCTATCTTATTCTTATTATCAGATTTGTGGTTAAATCTGTTGTTTTAACTCAATAAAGATCAAGAGTAGGAATATATCAAATGCACTCGAGACTAGTGAATTTGGTGGTGAAGGTCATATTTCACACAGCCTAAATTCATGACTACATCAAAAGGACAAACACAATAAGACACTTTTGTCAAAATCTAGGTCAGCTGAAATCAAAGTTCACTTTACATCTTAATCTGTGCACATGGTGCAAATTTCATAGCTGTACATCAAAGGACAAGAAAGTAGGTCACATTCATCAAAATCTAGGGTCACCTGATATCAAAGTTCAATTTTACAACTATAACTGTGCACATGGTCAAAATTTCATTGCTGTACATCAAAGGACAAGAAAGTAAGGTCACTGTCCCCCTTTGGGCAAAGGCAAAATTTTTGGATCCAAGGGTTTAATTCCAAAACAATCTTGACACAGGTCCACACCAAACAAAATTGGCAAGTCAAATATCTAAGCTGTAGCTTTCTCTCCATTCAGAAAACATTTGTTTTATTTTCTGTTTTTACTATGTGTACATAATGAGAATCACTGCCCCCTGGCAGGGCCAATTTTTGACACCAGGGGGGAAAAATTTGAACAACTTTGGTAGAGGACCTATAGATGATATTATATAGCAAAACATCCAAGCTCTTATGCCTTGTGCCTTCAGTCAAAAATATTTTTTTATTTTTTTTACTATATGTACATAATGAAAAATCAATGACCCCCTGGGCGGAACCAATTTTGACCCCAGGGCTATTAATTTGAACAATTTTGGTAAAGGTTCACTTTGCAAAGTTCTCATGCCATATATTTAACCTCTAGCCTTTGTCAATTCAGAGAAAAAGATTTTTTCAATTCAGAGAAGAAGATTTTTCAAGTTTTCACTTATACAATCATATAAGGAAAACTATCACCTCTGGGCAGGGCAATTTTAACACTAGGGGCATAATTAAACAAACTTTAGTAGAGGACCCATAGATGATATTATATACCAATATATCCAAAGCCTAAGCCTTGTACCGTCAGACAAGAAGGATTTTTTAATTTTTTTACTCTATGTACATAAGTGAAATCAATGACCCTGGGGGTGGGCCAATTTTGACCCTAGGGCTATAATTTGTACAATCTTGCTATAGAGGTTCACTCATAATGTTTTATGCAAATTACTTAAACTCTAGTCTTTGTAAATTTAAAAGAAGATGATTTTTTAAATTTTTTACAATATACATATAAGGAAAACCTATGGCCCCCGGGGCGGGGCTAATTTTGACACAAAATTTGAACAACTTTGGTAGAGTTCCTATAGATGATATCATTTAACAAATATTAAAGCTCAAGCTTGTACCTTCAGACAATAAGATTTTTTATTATATATATATATACTGAAAATCAATGACCCCGGGGCGCGGGCAATTTTGACCCCAGGCTATAATTTGAACAATCTTGCTAGAAAGTTCACTTCACAATGTTTCATGCAAAATATCTAACCTCTTTAGCATTTGTCAATTTGCTAAAAGATTTTTTTTTAAAGTTTTACTATAAGTTTTTACTATATACATATAAGGAAAACCAATGACCCCCCGGGCGGGGCCGATTTTGACCCCAGGGCTTATAATTTGAACAATCTGGGTAGAGGTCAATCAGACAATGCCTTATGCAAAATATCTAAGCTCTAGGCCTTTTGGGCTTAACAAGAAGGTAATTTTAAGTTTTTTACTATATGTACATATAGTGAAAATTAATGACCCCGGGGCTGGGCCGATTTTGACCCCAGGGCTATAATTTGAACAATCTTGGTAAGGGGTCTACCAGACAATGCCTTATGCAAATATCTAAGCTCTAGGCCTTTTCGGTCTTTACAAGAAGGTATTTTAAGTTTTTAACTATATATAAATATAGTGAAAATCAATGACCCCCGGGGCGGGGCTGATTTTGACCCCAGGGCTATAATTTGAACAATCTTGGTAGAGGTCTACCAGACAATGCCTTATGCAAAATATCTAAGCTCTAGGCCTTTTGGGTCTTTACAAGAAGATTTTTTAAATTTATTCTTATAATTCCTTATGGTTGCCATGGCAACCAGATTTCTGCATGGAATGAAATTCTTTGAACAACTTTTTGAACCCCTTCACCCAAGGATCAATCCTGCCAAGTTTGGTTGAAATTGGACTAGTGGTTTTTCACAAGAAGATTTTTTTAAGTTCACTATATAATCTATATAACACACACACACACAAACAAACAAACAAACACACACACACACACACATACACACAGGTGAATCGCTATATGCCACCGCATCGCAGATGCTGCGGTGGCATAAAAATTTGACATATTTGTCTCGAGACATGCTGGGCAGGGCAGACAGAAAATTGATTCAAAAGAAACCGTAATATGCTAAATAATGGAAAAAACTATTTCATAATTAAATTTGTATAACTAGCGACATAATTATACACATTACATTTTTCATTCAAGAGTACATAATAGATGCATTACTTTAACAAAACTTAGAGCATTCCTTATATAAATTCATGCAGTATTTGTTATCAAAGTACACATGAAACAGAATTTCTTGTTTTACAATTTTGACAAAAACAGAAATAATGTAATATGATATTTGAATTTTATCATATTTTTTTTCCATGCATGGCATACTTAGTAATCAAAGTGGTAGATACAAAAGTATTTGAAATAAATCATCACCTTGGTGCAGTAGCAGGATAACTTCTATTAAAGTTAATATGAGGTCAGCCATTTTTGCACTAAGGGACAAAATGTAAACCCATTTTGATTATTTGCTGAATTTTTCGTCGTGGTCCCGACTACAGTTTTTAAATTGGTTGCCCCTTGGATATAATGATATAAATTCAACAGTCCCCAGAATATCGTTATAAGTGAAGTTTACTGTATATTTTTTAATTTTTTAGTATAATACTTAATAGTATGTCATAATCTCAGACAGGATTTAGGATAAATGTTGGTTTAAACATATAATTATTACACATTCTCTTACTTTTTGATTTTAACTGTTAAGGGTTGCCAACTGTAGTGATATTTTAGTTTTATACGCTTGTAAAATAACCCTTCAATTCTAGTAATATTCTGATAAGTTTTATTTTGTAACTGAATGGATTTTCAATTGACACCAGAGCTTCAATATTTTTTCCCTACAACCATAAATCATTTTACTTTATTGTCTTTGATCCAAACCATAAAATAACGTTTTTTTATGCTTGTCTATCTTTGTGTAATATTTAATTTATAGAAACAAACTTAGAGTGAAAACGTAATTTTTGGTGCTTATATCATTTTGTATCAACAAACTGAAAGCATATGAGCCGTGTCACGACAAACCAACATAGCGGGTTTGCGACCAGCATGGATCCAGACCAGCCTGTGCATCCGCGTAGTCTGATCAGAATCCATGCTGTTCGCTTACAGACCCTATAACAAGTAAAGAAACTTATAGCGAACAGCATGGATCCTGATCAGACTGTGCGGATGCGCAGGCTGGTCTGGATCCATGCTGGTCACAAACGCACTTTGTTGGTTTTGTCGTGACACGGCTCAAATGATTTTTGTTCAGATTGAAGGATAGACAAGTACATTTAAAATAATTTTGAAGTGAAGAATTTTCCAAGCGTACATCATACCAAAATATTACATGTATTGACTACCCCTTGTCATTTTAAATTTGTTAAACAACAGCAATGAGAATACACACAAAGGTTAATCTGTCTACAATCATTAAACAAGTAAGAAACAAGGGAAATATCACAGCAAGGGTAAACAGTGTGGAGAATCAAAAAACCTGAAATGGTGTACTTTATAGAAAACATAACAAATGCCGATCAAAATTTTAGGGACGTAACGCAATAAGTGATTTTTAATTTCATGGTAAATACAGTCTACATTCGTGACAAAGTAAATTAGTTTAATTATTTTTGCCATCTCTCTATATGCAATATACATCCATCTTCCAAAGATTATCTCAATGTTCCGAATAAATTTCTAAATTGAAAAAACGAAAAACACGGGAAGGCAAATAATTATTAATCCACAGCTTAAAAAAAATTGTTTTTAATGAACTTTCCTAAACATGTGTTTTACTGAAATTTTCAGATCTGCATTCTATGATGTTATCAAAAAGTAAAGCATTTCAGGTCACATGATCTCCACACTATAATGAAATGCTAATATGTAAATGACAAAACATGCTAGCACATATGGAGCACACACACTAACACGCACCTTCAAACCTGGTCCACATTGCTACGATAGAAAACATTTAGAATAATGTACATAAACATTAGCACTTTTTCTAAACTATAATTATAAATATTCTAGTTCCATATTTTACTGTGTGAAAAAACTGTGTGTCCTAAGCCTGATTTTGAAACTTGAACCAATGACCCTTGGCGTACCATTCCTCTGCTCTACCAACTTAGCTTAGCTATTAAGGCCAATTACATATTTTTTTACCTAGTACTAGTTACCATTTCTATACTGTGACATATACATCAACAGATTTATATATTGGCTTATTTTGTCACTTTTTGAATCAATTATTCTAATAGTTGTACATAAATAAAGTGGAATTTCTAAGTTGATAAGATTTTGCATTTGCTCTTGGTCACAAAAATGCTTATTTAAAGTAAAAGACAAAGTATGCTGAATTTGTACATGCTAAAAAATATATGTTTTTCAATTAACTTATCTGAAAACAAGAAAGCTGTAGAAATTTTAACCTACTTGACATATTAACTGTTTAATAGATAATGCCAATTCAAGAAGATAAAGCACTTATTTTCAGACTTTACTAAATTCTTACCATTACGTTCTATGAAATAAACAAAAAATTATTTGTATGATACAATGGGTTTTCCTGGTTCACATTTCTAATATCAGCATCAGTTGATTTAAGTCTAACTTGTTTTAATCATTTACCCTAACGTCATCATTATCAGTGTACAGTTATGTAACTGACACACCTATTCCACCCTTACTTTTCAAAAATCCTACCCAACACCTATACATGTACTTCACTTCCCCACTGTTAAAAAAATTGGATCACATATGATAAGTAAATGCAAAATTATATATTACTGTTTTTCTACAAAACAAAGTCTAAGTGAAATTACATCTACAGGGGAACTAACCTCTGCAAAGCAACCCTCTGTATAGAAATAATCTCTTAACAATCTTTCCAAATTAAAATTTAACTTTGAATTTAACCTGTCTAGAGCAACACCTTTCCGTAACAACCAAAATCTTTGCGTCCAAAAGGGTGTTGCCCTGTAGCAGTTGTAAAAGCAAGCTTTTAAAACCTTATTCTAAAAATTCAATAAAAAGGGTGTTGCCCTGTAGCAGTTGTAAAAGCAAGCTTTTAAAACCTTATTCTAAAAATTCAATAAAAAGGGTGTTGCCCTGTAGCAGTTGTAAAAGCAGACCTATAAATCCTAATTCTAAAAATTCAATAATTTTAAGTTATTAAGATTAATGCATAAAAGGAATAAAATAATTTAAATAGAAGCCATTTAAATAATTATTATCCCACTTTAAACCACTAATCAATCATGTACATTTAGTTGAATACGTACCCCGATCTTGGTCCACTAAGCATCCATGATCGTACTGACGGCACTAGAAGTCCACCTAGGAGTATTTGTGTCGGATGATACACTAGTAAAGGTATGGTAATTAATGACAGACTTGCTGAGTCGGCAAATATGATTTTTATTATTGGAATTCCTGCAAAGACAAAAAACAACAACGCTTGAACACTTTCCAAAAACAATATCAAATTTTAGGCTACTTATATAAGTATATACATAAGTATATAAATATGTTTTTTAATTAGCACATGTATTTGTTATTTTGTGCAAGCATTTCTTTTTTATTGATTTTTAACTCAATACATTTCAGACATAAATTTTATTAAAAGCATGCCACCATCTCACCAGAAGAGTGATACTAATTTTTAAAAAGATAGAAAATGTCTCAGGTTAAATCACATTGACAATGTTTTTATTTTTTAGTTTAAAAAAAAAAATTAACAAAATAAAGAGACTATTTTAAATCTGTGTTGAACATATTCACAAGCAAATCTTGACCAGCAATCAAATTTTTATCTAATATGAATAAATTACCTAGCCCCAGATTTTGTCATGTAACTATGCAGACTGTATAATTGTATACTTACCTAAAGTAAGTGATTTGTGTGTACAACAAAACATTAAAGCAACAGTGTCACTGCGTGAAAAATGAAACAATCTACTACTGCTGAATGTAAACACACTGTATAGTAAACACAACTGTATGCAGATAACTGAAAATAAAACACGACAATGTAAACACACTGTAAGTAAACACACTGTATGCAGATAACTGAAAATAAAACACAGCAAAAATAATTTTAAATCTATGAAAGTTTATCAACTGGGCATTAATTATGTTTTTTAAGAAGCTTGGTTATTTTTTACAGTAGGTGGGTCTACATTAATAACCAGAAAGAAAAGGACATAAAAAGAAGTACCTTGGCTGGCTATGCAGTAAATTTTACCTTGTTATAGAAGGTCATACTCCACCAGCATGTTTATTCAGTCTGACATAATGTTATTTCGGTGGCTGCCCACATTCTAATATGCTAATATTGAGAATGGACAGATGGTCTGCTCCAAATTCAAATTCAGACAGGTCTATTGTACAAAGCTAACAATGTTATAGATAACAAAACAAGATCTGTCAGTAGGACAGTATGCTCAACTTCTCTAAGTGTTTGATAGCATAAATAATGTAAGAATTTTGGAGATATCAAATTGCATGCAAAAACTAAACTAAGTATGAAGCTGATATGAGTACAATAGCTCTTCTTATATATAAATAGCTGAGCTTACAAGAGCTGTCTGTAGGACAGTGTGCTCGATTTTTCAAGTGCCTTATAGTATAATTGCCTGGAAAATGCAGTATTTTCAATTTTCTAACATCAAAAAGGGCCATAATTCTGTCAAAATCCATGTTAGAGTTATGAGCCTAATGGACAACCTCCTATTATACTCTTCAATAAGTGTGTGAAGTTTCAAGCTATTCCCTTCAGTAGTTTTAGAGATACCAACTTGCATGCAAAAAACATAACCAAGAATGAAGTTGATGTTGACGCCTGGGTGAGTACAATAGCTATCCCTTATTCTTTAAATAGTCAAACTAAAAATTGTAAATGTCTTTAACATTATACTTACTTAATATTACAGTAATGAAGAAACTTGATGGATCAACATCTATCGATTCCTGGGAGAACGTATCACAGAATGTTGCATAGATAATGAGAAGTAAAACCCCACTGAAACAATTAGAGAAATCACAGATCTTGTATCTCAATTTTTTTATGGTTTTATATCATTTATATGATGCTCAAATGAAGATTTATCAATATTGTAAGTTCCAAAAAGCATTATTTGTAAAGATATTACCAAATTTACATTTCATGTAAATAAAGGGAGGTTATTAGAAATTTATTTTCAATAAAGTCTAAGCCCAATTTTTCCATAAGAAATGAATGCATATAATTTTAAAGATTACTTATAATGCGTATGAATATTTGCAGTAAATGTTTAACATATTCTTGGGTGTTTAGGAATTGTTTTAGAAGAATAATTATATACATATATAAAATTTAATATAAGTATTGTTACATCCTTAATTACATCTTACAGGATCTTTAATAACAATAACCATTATAACTGATCATTACTGCTATAAGTAATGAAAATATATGTGATCAATTTGACTTTAGAAGAAATATCATTTCTTTCTGGAAATTTTCCGAAAAGTTTTGATAATTTGTCATTATCTTTTCAGTGCATGCACATATACACATCTTAACTCAGCTATTTTCATGCGGACAATTACATATTGATATATAGGTCAAGTAAGTAAACATTGGTAAAATGGAAAAAGCAAATTTAGATAAAAATCTGACCAGATTAATAACCAATGAAATTTCTCCTTTTTTTCAGAATTACCAGTACTGGTAACTTATATTCTACCAATAGATGATAGGTCCCAAAAGTAGAGTGTGGAGCAATTGGTCGCCAAAAACTTTGAATTTTATTAGCCCTTTTCTTTTCATTTTATTTGAGTTAAAATGAAAATAGCAATGCCAAATTACAAACAAGAAAATTTTGAATTTTTAGATTATATATTTACAACAATAATTTTGAATTTTCAGATTAAAAAAAAAATGACAAGAAAATTGGGAATATTCAAGATCATAATTTGGCAACAAAATTGGGAATTTTTGGACCATATACATTGTACTGTAAAATAATAAATGTATTTTGTATTGTCAGATCATGTATTGATAATAAAATTTTGAAATTATCAGATCACAACTGGGAAAAGAAGAAACTTTATCACATTGAGAATGTGTCTTTTAATTAAAGCTTAAATTCAATCAAATAAAACAAGAGTATGGCACAAATTTAGTGACATATATACATACCTTCCTATCTGGCCCCAGGGAACACTTTTTAGGTTAATAAAGTTAGCTAAATATCGTCTTATCCATTGGCCAATGATTAATGGTAAAACAACAGTTGCTGTAAGTTGTAAAAATATAGATGCTACAGGGACAGCAGCCTTTGATCCTACCTGAAATACAACATACATGTTTGAAATGTCTGAAACTGAAATATTAATTAATACAAATATGTATGTGTAAGATTTCTAAAGAATTATATATGTTTTTCACATCTAAATTCTGATACATGAAAACTTGATTAAAATATGTATAATCCTTCAATATGACAAGATTTATTTCCTTATTTAGATAAGTCTTACACTTTCTAAGGGACAACATTATTAATTTTTCCCAAAATGGTGTCCGAAATTTCCCAATGTCAAATGACCATAATAATTCATAATTTGGCTGTTGTTAAGGATTGCTTTTTATCTAATTTTCCTTTTTTCATGACAAAAACTTCACAATATGGGTTACATTTATAAATTATAACTTTAATAATATTGATATTACCTTTTAAAAAAGAACTTAAATTAAGGTTAAAAGAATCTCATTCTTACTAAAGCTAATATAAGTGTTGGGGTGACTGCTATACCCTGTAATTAAAAATTAAACTAGAAATGTGTCATCATGCCACGGATGCCCCCGCATGCAGCCAAAATTTCAGATGTTATAATATTTAGTTCCAAATTTGTTTGCACAAATAATTTTTTTCATTTTAAGTTCAAAGCCCTTAAAACTTTTCAATGTTAACACAAACCATTTTCATACAATGTTCAAGGCACTGAAATTATTCAGTCTAAACCTTTTGAAATTAGCATATTTCATATTTGTAGCCAAAATAATGGGCATTGGCTACATACATTTCAGTGCTGAAACTGAAAGTTCAAAATTTTTACAACATTCAAGAAAGATAAGTTTGTCCAAAATCATTGAACCACGACCAAATTCAAACTTAAACTGCTTATTCCTAAGATGTATCTATATTATTTTCAAAGTGAAAGGGACATAACTCTGCCAAAAAGTCATCGAACCATGACCAAATTCCAACTTGACCTGCCCATTCCTTTGACATATCCATATGTCAAATTTGAGTAGTTGGGTAGATAATGAACAGAAACTGTAAATTTCATATTATTTTCAAAGTGAAAGGGGCATTACTCTGCCAAAAATCATTGAACCATGACCAAATTCAAACTTGGCCTGGGCATTCCAAAAATATATCCATATGTCAAATTTGAGTTGAATGTGTTGTACCATTGGGGAGATAATAAACAGAAACTGAAAATTTCATATTATTTTCAAAGTGAAAGGGGCATAACTCTGCCAAAAATCATTGAACCATAACCAACTTTGAACTTGACTTGCGCATTCCTGTGATGTATCCATATGTCAAGTTTGAGTTAAAAGTGTTGTACCATTGGGGAGATAATGACCGGAAACTGAAAATTTCATATTATTTCCAAAGTGAAAGGGGCATAACTCTGCCAAAAATCATTGAACCATAACCAACTTTGAACTTGACTTGCGCATTCCTGTGATGTATCCATATGTCAAATTTGAGTTGAATGTGTTGTACTGTTGGGGAGATAATGAACGGAAACTGAAAATTTCATATTATTTTCAAAGTAAAAGGGGCATAACTCTGCCAAAAATCATCGAACCATGACCAAATTCGAACTTGACCTGTATTTTCTCATGACATATCCATATGTCAAGTTTGAGTTGAATGTGTTGTACCATTGCGGAGATAATGAACGGAAACTGAAAATTTCATATTATTTTAAAGTAAAAGGGGCATAACTCTGCCAAAAATCATTGAACCATGACCAAATTCGAACTTGACCTGTATTTTCTCTCGACATATCCATATGTCAAATTTGAGTTGAATGTGTGCAACCCTTACTAAGATAATGAACGGAAACTGATGATGACGGAATGACAGAATGACGGAATGACGGAAGGACGGAATGACGGAATGACGGAAGGACGGAACAGGGTAACACTATATGCCCCGGCCATTACATGGCGGGGGCATAACAATATACATGTTCTGGGAATATTAAAAGAATGTGATATTCTGGTGGGATATATCATCGAGTTGGTCGTGGAATATTGTGTTCACACACTGGTGGTTAAGACAGGCCATTATTGAAGCAGCAATATTTTAGGTGTTTCAAACCTTCACAACTGATTTAAATAATCTGTGACAATACATGTAGTTAAAATTCAAGTCAACATATAAAGCCACTTTCTTAACTTAGACCCATTATATTAGCATGTGAGATGTGGCACACCTTTTTAGCACAAACAAACATTTTGTTCTTACAGCCTTTTCATTTGAATATGCATATATGAAAATAGCATGCAAACAAAGATAAACAAAACTGATTAAAATCATCTTATTTGTCTGGTCATTTAAAATAGCCCCAAGGCAAACAGTTATTGTTTAACAAAATTAGCAACACTAGTTATCATCATGTTCAATCTCTCTTACATATGAAAATAATGTTATATTAAAGAATCTACTTTATACTCACAAGAAAACTTCCAAATGCTGAGTTGAAAATAGCTGCAGCCTGAAATCATAGAGCTTTATTTATGAGTTGGCATAGACTAAATATTAGAATGTAAGTGCCAATACAATGAACTGGACACAATTCACTATAAATGATAGGAAATGTTTGCCAGTGTGCAGGTCAAATGAAGTTAGAAGAATCATCTTTGCAAAGAAAGTATATTATACTGACAGAAATTACTTATATGAAAAGAAAAAAAATATATGTGAAAAATGTAAAAAGTTTTCACCCAAAATTGTTCATAAAAATATCAATATCCAATTCAAAAGGAATATAGAAATAAATATAACATGTTTTTTACCCCTGGTGTTTTTTGCATTTAAACATATTTTATTGTTTTTTGTGTTTTTTGCATGAAATGTTTTATGAAAATAATATACATGTACTTTATAAAAATGTGTATACATGTATTGGTCATTGATATTTCTTTATACTAAAATTTTCTTCAAATAAAGATGATGATGATAAAATACATGTTATGACAATTATAAAATAGTAATAAATAATCACCTCATTGCCACCAACTGCTTTTGTAAGGATAACTGCTGAAGACACGGGTGGTGGTAAACAACTCAATATCTTCAATCTTACAAAAAAAGAAAAAAATAACAATTAGTTAACATTTCAATTAGAAAGATGTAAGAATGCAAAAATGTTATAATAATTCAAACTGGTCACCTTGATTTATCTATTTCACCATTTAACACACTGAATACTAGCGGGGATTAAAAATAACATGTCATTGCCCTTTGAATCATTTTCTACAAGTTCATTTGTACATGTATAATTTTTTCTCCTAAACTCCTTCATTTCTCCTATAAATCCAAAATTTTAATGCAAATCAAAATTTTAGTCATGAAGAATTTTTCTAACATTAAATGTTTAAGCTTAAGGTATAATACATGTAAGTGTCTTAAGTTAAATACTATGGACCTGTTATAAAATCTGATGAAATTCACCATCATATTTTAATCATGTGTAAGAAAATACAAACCCTTCTAAAACTTGTTGGTTGAATTCTGCAATGCTCAAAAAGCCAACTAAAGCAAATATTATTACTGGAAACAAAATGAAGGTAAAGCCTTGAATAAAGACATGAACTTTGACCTGCAATAATGCTCTTCCCAAATCCTGAAAACAGATTATTAATTAATATGTAAAAGTGCTTAGAACATAACTGTAAGATAGAGTTTAATGAGAAATCACATAATTTTTGTTTGAAATTAACTATTTAATCACTTAAAAACAATTTTTTAACTTCTCTTATTTTTTTTTTTATTTTTCTTTTGTTACTTCAAGGTAACTAAAGTTTTATTTCTAAATAGTTTTGAATTGCAAATGGTATTTAAAATTATGTCATTGATAATGTAAATATTGAAGAATATTACTATCATCAATCTTTAAAATTTACAAAATTGTGAACACTATTTACCTCACTTTTCAATGAAATTCCACTATTGAAGAAAATTATGAAGACTGCAATATATTTCACTGTTATCTCGGGCATTAAAACTCCTATAAGGAAAGGAAACTTGTATGCAATGGATTAAAAATGTTGATATTTATAAAATAAGAACATACGTTATAAATTTTGAATTTAAATATGCTTGATGCGAAAATATTAAATCTTTTAAAAGTTTCTTACGACTTGTATATAAATTGATTTCAAGACATTTTCAGCCAAAAGATTTTAAGGTGTCCCAAATTACCAACTTCAGTCATTTCTGCTTGGACATTTCGCCTTTTTCGGCCCTTTACCAAATTGGCCCTAAATTTAATTTAGAAATTTCCTATTATAAACGTCATGTTTTCTTTGTGAACATTATCTGCAATACCTAAAATAAATTGTAAAACTATTGCTAAAACTTCTTGCAGCAAATTGAAGCAAGGTCTTTCAAATATTTGAAAGACCTGATTATCATATAAAATTCACAACTCTTAAAAAAAATTGACAACCTCCTTTAGATCCAATTTCAGGAGCGAATTTAGCTAAACTTATCACTACAATTATTCCAATCAAGAACCAATTCTTTTTTAATACAGACAACATTGTTTTTCATTTCACTTATTCGTTTCTCTATAAGTTTGACAGTTTCCACGTTTGCACAGGAAGTGCCTACCAACACCCCAAAAACTTAACCGGATATTCATGTGCAATAAAAGTAGTAATTTATTGACAATCATTTCAGTACTATATATTCGATTTTAGTTATGGTAGATACAATATAAACATTTAAATTCCATTTTCTGTACTATTAAGGTACCTTTTTAAATATCTTAAAGCTTTTTTATGCTTTGACCTACTTTCAAGAGGAACGATATTGTACATAAAGTATGGCGGCCGAAGTGAATGCAAGATCTAACAAGAATTCAACAATAGCTTTTACTTTGCCAATTTCATGTCAAGTATGTTTAGGAAAGGTATGCATCATTTCTTTATATCTTTTGGATTAGTTTAAAATGAAGAATAAATCTAATTAGCGTAAAATCCGATCATTATTTCGAAAAGCGTCGTCGGTTTCTAGGGCACCTGTCAAATTTATGTACCCCACCCACTTTTAAACCATGTGAAATTGTAAACTATTTTATTAGAAATAACATTGCAGATAGTTGCTGAGCTCAACTGAAAGGACAGCACATTAATATTAGGGACCATTTCTATAATATGAATAAATAAGCATCAGAGCCAGTTGTTTGAAAGAAATTGTTGATCTAATACAGTTTGTATGGAAGTGTTTTTCTTATACAAAATATGCCATATTTTGAAGAAAATTAAAAGTTTTAATAACTTTATTCTCGTTATTGTGTTTTAGGTAGTATTGCAAACGATTTGACCCAACATGACATTTTGAATGCTTGTACAAATGCTTATCAAATGTTTACCCTTTTAAATTGATTAATTTATTTATTTTTTTTTATTTATTTTATTTTAGCAACAACATAGATCACAGTTACATAATAAGATATATATATAAATAAATATATATATAAAATAACAGTTTATCCAAATTAAAATATCATTTCATATTAATAATAAATAAAACAAATTTAGTTAATGACTGAGATCAGATGAGGCATAGGATAAATGTATTTTAAAAAGAAGCAAATGAATAAATTAATAAAATCACATTTCAGGTTAAGACTACAATAGTCAGAATTATAATTATCACAGAATATTGTTAACTTAAAGTTACTGATAAACATGATATAAAAGAAGTAAAAGAATTTCAATAAAATTTCAATACAAGGGTTTTGTTAAATAGTGATCTATGGTTACAAGGATAGCCCATTAAGCTGGTGTGCTTATTTCCAATGGGGTCCTGTTAACCAAATAGATGGAAACAAGATAAAACCAGAGAGACATTCATTCCTCAAATAAAAATAGACAGTGAGATAATCTTCAAATTATTCAATCACAGTAGTTTTGCATTATCACATAAAGAAAAGCACAGGAAAAAATTAGATAACTAAAAACAATAAAGTTTGGCGAAACCTATGTCGCCACTAAATTAGTAATATAAAAAGTCACTTTGATGTTGCGCAGCCCATATTGAAGCAAGATGGCTTTTAACAGAATTTTTATATAAAGTTGGATTTGATATACATTTTACATCATCTGGCAAACTATTCCAATCTTTAATACCATTATAGAAAAAGGTGCTATTACATGTCTTATTACAAAGAGGAATTGAAAAATTAAACTTATTTGATCTAGTGTTGTAGTTGTGTATATCAGACATCCGATCAAAATTTGTTTTCATATAAGTTGGACACGTATTATAAAAAATCTTATGCATATGATTAAGTCTCAGTTGTTTAACTCTGTTTTCAATATTTAACATGTTAACATCTTTAAAATCAGAAGGAGTTAAACTAGTTCTTGGATGGTAATCTTTTATAAACCTTATGACTTTGTTTTGAGCTACTTGCAGTTTCTTTTTCAGACTTTTATTTAAACTTTCGTACCAGGACGAACAAGAATAGTCAAAATGACATTGGATTAAAGCAGAACAAAGCAATTTTCTACAGTTAAATGATAGACATTTACTGTTTCTGTACAAAAATTTAAGTTTAGTGTTTACTTTAGATATGACTGCATTAACAATTTCTTCTCCAGACAGAAGATTTTCAATTTTCAAACCAAGATATTTGACTGTCTTAGTAGATTCAATAGTGTGACCATTACAAATAATATTAAAATTATTAATCTTTTTAAGTTTTTTCTTTGGACCAAAAATCATACATTCAGTTTTTCCTAAGTGGAGAGACAGTTTATTATCAACTAGCCAATCTGAACAAGATTCTAGAGCTTTACCTAATTTCTGTGAAATAAAATCAGGATCATGATGAGAAAAAAGTATAGTGCTGTCATCAGCATACAAAATAAGCTTACACTCGGAATCGATACTGGTGATCATATCATTTACATAGCATAAAAAGAGCAATGGACCTGAAATACTTCCCCGAGGAACACCACAATTTACTATTGATGGAGAAGAAGAAAACTCTCCAATATGTACTAATTGTTGCCTGTTATTTAGATAAGCTCTAAACAAGTCTGTATTGGTAATTCCCATCAGATGAAGTTTTCCACAGAGAATATTATGATCAACAGTATCGAATGCCTTTTGCAAATCTATCATTATCATTCCAGTAAGTAAGTCTTTGGAATTATTCAGTCTGATATGATCTAACAAATATATGAGGCAAGTATCAGTTGAATGTGAACTTCTAAAACCAGATTGGTGTCCATACAATATATTATTTTTAACAAGAAATGTTTCTAATTGATTATATACAGCTCTTTCTAAAATCTTAGAGATAATACTTAATAAACAGGCCTATAATTGCCCACTTCAAGTGTACTGTTTTTCTTATATAATTGTTTCACCCTGGCAAGTTTTAAATCATCAGGGACAAAAATTTCTCTGATGGACATGTTTATTATGAAAGCAACAGGTAATTTTAGAAAACTTGCTCCATCTTTTAAAAATCTTGCAGGTATTCCATCCAGACCTGTACTTTTACAAACATTTAAACTACAAAGTTCTTTAAATACAAAATTTTCTGACACAGTTTTTAAAAAGAATGTTTCACTATGTGAGTTAGAATTGGAGTAAAACTGTTTAATAATAGTGGAATCAAGAGTAAATAAATATTGAATAAAACTTTACTGTAGTATCATAAGCAGTAATCAATCATTTACATATGTTTTTAACTTTTTACTGATTGTCTTAGAGCAGGGAATTTTTTGTCAAAATTGTGAAGGGGCCTGGGCCTGTTTAATTTGGGAAAAAAAGCACAATGCGTCATGAAATTGTGGAAAAAAACTGTAAAATGAGAACAGTTAAGCATTTTTTTTCAGACTTAAATTGACTTCTATTTTTGTGTCGCCTCCATGGAGTAGTGGCGACATATAGGGATCACTTCTCCGTCGTCTGTCTGTGTGTCCGTCCGTCTATCTGTCCGTCACAAAACTTGTCCGGACTACTCCTCATAAACTACTGGTGCAATTTCATCCAAACTTTACAGGAATGATCAGTACCAAGTCTAGTTGTGCATATTGTCAGCATTTTCCGGTTCAATGATTTTTGTCAGAGTTATGGCCCTTTAATAATTTTTATTTTTGAAGTTTGTCCGGACTACTTCTCTTATACCACTAATGCAATTTCAATGAAACTTGTAGCTCAAGTCCTTGCCCATATTGCACGGGTTTTCCAGTTGAATGATTTTTGGCTGAGTTATGGCCCTTTGATAAAAAGATGTTTTTTCTGTGTGTTGCCAGATACACAAAAGCTTGTCCGGACTACTCCTCATAAACAACTGGTGCAATTTCATCCAAACTTTACAGGAATGATCAGTACCAAGTCTAGTTGTGCACTGTCCGTCTGTCACAAAACTTGTCCCAACATGAAATTGGCCATCATGAGGCGACACATGTGATCACTGATCCCTCTTGTGTTTTTATTGACATGCTTTTTCAAAGTTTAAGGTGCCTTTCTTTTGCATTTTTGAAAATTTCAATGATTTGATTATAGTCCTCTTCAGGAACTGAGAGTAGTATGTATTCTTTCTACAGCTGTTTATCCTATTTTATCACCATGATCTGATTCGGTCATTTGTTCCTATGGTGGCGATCCCGTTTCATGGGACAAAAGTACAGAACAAGGTTTCTCAACTGCTCTTACCATTTTTTTACCATGATCTGATTTGATTATTTGTACAGATGATGGCGGTTGAAGGTACAGGACATGATTCTGTATTAACCGAATCTGGTGGTAGCACTTCTGGCCAGTTGTCTAGTTTTTGTTGTGTCGCCTTGAAAAGGTGACATATAGGGGTTACTTTTGTCGGCGGCGCCTGTGTCGGCGGCGTCGTTGTCGGCGTCGGCGTCCTCTAAAGCTTGTCCGGAGCATAACTCAGTCACTATAAGTCTGATTGACTTCAAACTTGGTATGCATGCTTCTTTCAATAACCCGAAGTGCAGTGCACAAGGACCGGTACTCTGCAGTTCTTATTTTTTGAGTTATTGCCCTTTGTTAATTTTCATACTTTAATTTTGTCCGGGCCATTTCTCTTCAACTAAAAAAGCTATGGACTTGAAACTTCATAGGATGATAGATCTCATTAAGAAGAAGTGCAGTGCACAAGAACCGGTACTCTGCACTTCCTAATTTTTGAGTTATTGCCCTTTGTTAATTTTCATACTTTATTTTTGTCCGAGCCATTTCTCCTAATGTATAAAAGCCATGGACTTAAAACTTCATAGGATGATAGGTCTCATTAAGAAGAAGTGCAGTGCACAAGTACAGGTACTCTGCATTTCTTATTTTTTGAGTTATTGCCCTTTGTCTATTTTCATACTTTAATTTTGTCCATGCCATTTCTCCGAATGTATAAAAGTTATGGACTTGAAACTTCATAGGATGATAAATCTCATTAAGGAAAAGTGCAGTGCATAAGAACTGATACTCTGCATTTCTTATTTTTTGAGTTATTGCCCTTTGTTGCTTTTCTTACTTTATTTTTGTCCTGGTCATTTCTCCTCAAGTATGAAAGCTATGGGCTTGAAACATCATAGAATGATAGATCTTATTGTGCACAGAAACTGCTGCTCTGCACTTATTATTTTTTTAGTTATTGCCCTTTGTTATTTTTCATATTTCATTTTTGTCCTGGCCATTTCTCCTAAACTACATTGTTCACAAGGCGACACATCCAACTCGCGGAGTTCTAGTTTTTTTATGCCCAAATTGAATAGATTTTGTTGTTGGGTTTTCTGTTTTGCATTGTATTTCCCATTTCGTGACATATTGAAACCGGAAATGTCGCACGATGAACACTTGATTATAATTTCTGACTAGTCTAAAATAGGCTTCGAGTCGGTATTTTCAACCCGGCCGGTAAACATGCGCAAATACATTTAACTCGATTTAAACTACTTTTTAACTATTCGAAGTCCTAATATTTTGTGAAATCTCTTTTGAGATTTTGAATTTTTTTCTGCGTATTGTGAAAAAAAGTGCAATTTCGAATTGTGAAGGGGCCAAACAATATACCACAACATATTTATAAAATATCTGTATTTAAACCATCAAAAAGTTTTTATTTTTATTTTTAATTGAAGTTTTTAATTTCTTTTTTTCAGGTTAAGAATCCAGTTCTATGTCCAAATCATCATGTATTCTGCGGCCCTTGTATGGATGTTTGGCTGCAGAAAAACAAACAGTGCCCTGCATGTAGAACTGCCATGACAGCAGGCAAAAAAATTCTTGGTATGTCAGTCATTTTATGTACAATTTTGATAAAAAAATGATGGTGATCAGGACCAAAACACCATTTTTAGGGAAGGGGCCTCAGCCTTTCTCTTGGGGAAAATATTCGTGATTTTGGCATACTTTGGGAAAAGGGGCCTCAAATTTAACACAAACTTCAAAATAGAAAAGCAAAAAGCACTGGGAAATACTAATTAGGCAGTTAAAGACCTTAATTCAACACCATCATTTAATTTTGTTCTAAATTCTGTGGGAATTTCAAAAGACTTGGGAATTTTAAGGACCAAACTGGGGAAAAAAGAGGCTAGTTTGGTTGGGGAAGCAGCCTATATTCAGCCTCTACAAAGAAGGGTTTTTGTCCTGGTGATGGTTAGTTCTGAGCTAACTCTCATATATTTGCTCATAATATATGATTAGACACTGAAGTTAAATGAATATAAAGTTAAACAATACTGTTTATATATTATAGGTGGTTTAAACTGTTGTATATATAATGTGTTATTAAAGTTCAGGCGATTTACACTGTTTATATATTATAGGTGGTTTAAGCCAGCAGGAAGAAGACACAGAAAAATTGACCAATCCTGATCTCAGAAAAGCTAGATTTGATCTCCTATACAAAGAATATGAGGTACTGTTAAAAAGAGAATCTTTCAGTATGCTAAAAAAAATTTATTGAGACTATTGGTTGGAGACCACTAAAACCAGACAACCATCCAACCCTGATGTGTCTGAAAACAATTGATTAAGTTGTTTCTGTGTTTTTTGGTTGATGAGCAATCAGTCGCTTTTTTGTCAACAATGAGTGCATGTTTCTTCAAACATTAATTAAGTAAATTTATTTTAAATTCTTAAACATAAATAGTTTTATGTCTACTTGAAAAACGTGATGTTAAAAATTCTGATATCAAGACTGCAATACCTGACCTCTTTCACTAGGGGTCTGCATGAATTATGGTCCAGAATAGTCAGAACAGTCAGAACCGAATTCACGTGGACTGAAACATTGTTCTGGACAATTTTTTTCTCTCCCGACAAAGGAGGTGGTGTTGGGGAAACATTGAAGAAAATAGTCCTGAACCGCTCTGATGTTATCTCTGAACAGTAATTAAACACTTCTTGTCAAGAACCAGTCCGTAACTACACGGATTATATTTAAGAAAAGAAAACCCAGAACAAGTCTTGAACACAAGATTCGTGCATACCCTAGCAGAGTAAATATCAGAATACTCATTCAGTGTTCGAAATTAGCAGTAGTCCTATAGCCCCTGACTACTAAATTTCTCCTCGGGCTACCAACTTTTTAAAGTAACAAGCCCGGCAAGGCTACTGTATTTTCAGAGGCAATATAAACAACTGTTGTGAACAAATGAATCGTGCTAGTGAAATGTTTTTTGGGCTAGTGAATATTCCAATCCGGTAGTCCGACCAGCCTAGTGGTTTCAAATCCGAATTTTTTACACTGCTCATTATTTCAGCAAATGCTGTCAGAATATTGTATATTATGTTATATTTATTAAAACATCCAAGCCATAATCTGGATTAATTTAAATGATACATATCAGTCAGAAACCTGGTACTATAGTGAGGACAATTGAGGCAATTTTGATATCTCTTGCACAGGCCTGAGAATAGTCGAGCACGCTGTCCTACCCACAGTTCTTTTTAACCTTTTCCCTTATATAAGCGTGTTTCGTCGACTTTCCCCCCTCCCCTTTTTGAGGCCTCAAACAGTGAAAAAATGACCTATTTAGGCCCCAAACACTGTTTTTCGTTTGAGAAATGTTGTTAAAAAATGATGACTTTTTCGGCGCCGTCCCCCATCCAAATATTACATAAGGGGGTTGCCAGAAGGGGGATGTGCCCCCTTCTGTTTGTGGGGTTTGAAGGGGGGCGTAGTCCCCCTCATCTCCAAGAAAATTTTGGACATGTGACAGACTAAAAATGGCCTCAGGTCGATCTTAGGGTAACTAGTAACCGACGCTGAAAAGCCTTTTACTCTATCTCAATTCATTGAGAAGTTGCAGCACTTTGAACTCAGTTTTGATGGAAAAAAACAATGCAAAATAGTGATTTTTGGCAATTTTGAGACGTCCTCCATTGCCATTGTAACAGGAAATTTACCATTGAGCATGCTGTTACAGAGGCTATGGTGTAGTCAACATTTGTGCCAAGTTTCATTAGTATTGAAGCAATTTTTCACAGTTTCATAGCAGTTTGAACTTGTTACAGGAGGCTTTTCAATGAAAACGGCCATTTTTCGCAATATGCTCATGGGGTAAAAGGTTAATTGAAGACTTTACACTCCTAATATTATACAAAAGGACAAATAGGGTCACAGTCATTGTTTGGAGGAGTAAAAAGTCATTATAAAGTGATCTTTCCACATATACACTTTTTCATATAAAATATCATGTCACCTTAGTGCAGTAATGGGTTAACTCCTTACATAATTTATTTGGAGTTAACCTGTTACTGCACTAAGGTGACAATATATGCACTCATTTTAATGTTACTTTTAAAATTAATTTAACTTTTATAGAATGAGTTTGAGCGTATGCACTCAGAAATACAGTTGTTAAAAACAGAGAATCAGATTCTGAAGCAGCAAACCAGAAAAGATGGCCTCACCCCTAGCAGGTTAGTTTTTTATAATCAGCAAATCTGAGGGAGGTTGTGGGTTTGAATCCTGTCTGGGACTTTGGATTCTTTCATGGGTTCAAGGTATCCAGCTGGCTTAATAAAGGTTGTTGGTTTTATCTAGGTGCCTGAACAAACATGCAAGGAGGGGCTTCTTAGTTATTTATCTACCAGAAAAGCTAAACAATCTCCTTATGTTTGAAGTGTTGTTAAAAAGATATATAAAAATGTTGTTATTATATAATCATGCTATACTCAAGGTAGTTTGGGAATTTTTTCAGATTTCCTCAATATATTTTTTCCATAAAACACTGCAGGGATGCAAGATATTTTATTTAATCAGGCCTCGAAATAAACTTCTGTTCCAATTTATTGGGAAGCCTGCATTGTAACTAATTAGTTATTAAGACAAAACTGGATAGACTTCATTCGCTTTACCAAATTCATAATTTGGATCCATAAAATTAATGTTTTCTTCTGTTTGCGGCATTATTGATTGCATAAAATTTTGTCTTAACCTTTGTTTAAAATACAAAAAAAAACTTGGTGGTCTCTATCATATGTAGCACTAAGTAAACTTTCCTGCAGTGGTATTGATAAATCTTGTTCACAATTTCAATATTAAGATATGTTTTTTTATTTCATGCTTTCGAGTGTTTTATTGTAATATATCAGATGATTATATTCTGATAAACCACTAGTGAAATTTATAAAATATAATTTTCACTGTAGCCGGACTATATCTGAATGCGGATGAAAAGAAATCATAACTAAATGGAATAACATGCAGAAATAAATGCCGTCATGCGTAAATTTTGCTTCTTTAGGAAAAGACAGTAGATGTCACCATACATCATGTTGAAAATGTAACAAAATTAGAGAAATTTAACAGAACTATTTTTCAAAATTGATGATGTGACGTCATGATGGGATGACGTCACAAGGGAGAATGCGCGACGTTACGCGGCAAAATCAGTAAAAAATACTTAAAATCAATTAAAACGCATGAAATAAAAAGAAAATTTATTTGTTTTACATATAAGATTGAAATATATTTCATTCGTGAACACCATATTATAATATTTTCACTCGTGGCTACGCCACTCGTGAAAATATTGCATCTGGTGTTCACTCAGTGAAATTATATTTCAATCTTACATGCAAAACAAACAAATATCCTCTATGTATTACAGTTTCTGTAATATTTGGGTAAACAATGTGATAAACTATGAATATTTGTTTAATTCTGCAGTAAACAACCCTATTGTATATTATTAAATATTCTAAAGTTAATCCATAGCAAACAGCTTTTGAACTGCCAGTTAAAAAGGATTTAAGTATTATTATAAATTAGAATTAATTTTTATGCTCCCCGAAAAATTTTGGAGGGAGCATATAGTCAGCGCCTTGTCCGTCTGTCCGAGCGCACGAGAGGGTATATGTTGGGTACTAAATACCCAACAACTACCAATCCTACTCACTCCGTATGTATTGTTGGGTATTTTTAATGAATTTTGATGTATTGTTGGGTACTTTTTTACACAGTAAAATACCCAACAAGAATACAAATGTGAGGACGTCTGTCCGTCCGTTGTCTTGTCCAGAGCATAACTTGAAAACCCTTGGAGATAATTTGTTTAAACTTCATACAGTAGTAGAGGGCATTGAGGGGGAGTGCAGTGTCAAAGAACCATAACTATTTTCCTGGGCTTTGAATTATCTCCCCTTATAGAAAAATCTTGTCCGGGACATAACTCTAAAACTATAAGAGATATCATCATGAAACTTTGTAGGTGAATAGATCTCATAAGAACAATAACTCTTTTTGTCCTAATTTTGGAGTTACTGCCCTTTGTTAATTTTAACACTTTGAACTTTGTCCGGAACATAACTCTAAAACTATAAGAGATATCAAGATGAAACATTGTAGGTAGATTGATCTCATTGAGTAGAAGTGCAGTGCAAAAAACCATAACTCTGTTAAGCCTCATTTTTGAATTATCTCCCCTTCTAGAAAAATCTTGTCCAGGACATAGCTGTAAAACTATAAGAGATATCAACATGAAACTTTGTAGGTAGATATATCTCAATGGGTAGATGTGCAGTGCATAAGAATCATAACTCTGCATTGCCTAATTCTGGAGTTATTGCCCTTTGTTTATTTTTACTTTTTGAAGTTGTCTTGGACATAACCATAAAGAAACTTTGTAGGTTGATAGATCACATTGATTAGAAGTGCAGTGCAAAGAACAGTAACTCTGCCTTGCCTAATTTTGGAATTATTGCACTTTGAACTTTTTCCAGGGACATAACTATGAAACTACAAGAGGTGTACTTTCCTGTGTCCAAAACCTATTCGGGGAGCATCACCCACCTCAAACCGGGCTCTTGTTTATTTCTCAGTATCTATACACTTTAAGAACATGATTCTTTAACCCTTTCCATGCTGAAACAGAAATAGCCTTTGCCACCAGTATAGAGCCAGGCCAGCCTACACATCTATGCTGTATGACCAAGCACTACACCCTTGGCTTACAATTTTCAAATTTTCATTTTGGTATCCCCAAAATTAATAATCATATAATAATGTATAGTTCCAAAAATGGAAGCTGGACAAGTCCATTCAGGTTAAGGGTAAAATTGATTTCATAGTAAACATTTAACGTGTATAAAGCCAGCCTTTGTAGAGTTTTATAATAATTGTTAGCTAAGCAGTTTATATAAAATGGCTACAAATATAAGATACTGGTTTATCATTCATAGATGTAAGATTGTCTCCTATCTTGTATTAATTGTTGTATATTTCATCATACAGATCGGATAGTAGCAGTTCTAAATCCACAGACACTAGTCACCTACTGGCACTCACGAAAAAACTTCAAGATGCCACGAAAATGTATGAGAAAGTTAAAGGGGAGCTAACAAGACTTAAACAGGTAAGGGGAAGAAACGAGAATTAGATTTATTACTGTATCTTATTAAGCCTTCATGAATTAATCTATATTGACGGATTTATGACAAGTCTTCAATTGCATATACATGTAAATCAAATCAAGATTGAGACATACTTGATATTTGCACTGTTGCTTTGTTTATACTTAGCAATAGATTTATATTGAAATTAAATACAAGACAGAAAATATATGTATAGCCATACAAAACAAATGATGTCACTTAACTTCAACATTGATAAAACATCCTAATTAGCTTTTATTGAGAAATTTAAGTGTTTTGTTTTCTTTTTCATTTTTACAGGAGAATACAAATTTAAAGGATGAAAATTTGAGTTTAAATAGAGAAAATCAACATGTAAGACAGGAGCTGGCAGGCAGATCTCCACACAGGTAAATCAAAATATATACAATAGTTACTTTTCAAAGGGACCATTTTAAGTGGAAATTGGACCCCATCAAAAAGTTTTTGTTCTTTGGTAAAATTTTGTCCTACAAATAAACAAATAAGTAGAAACATCAGTATGTTCTTATTAATTAAGTTGGTTTTACCCATTTAAAGGGAAGGTAATTATTAATGATACTGATATTATTTTACTTAATCAATGCCTGCAATTGTAATGCAATTTTGAAGTTATCTCCCTTGCCAAAGAGACCTGGCACCATTCTTTTAATGCTGAAATACATCTGAAGCAAATCTAATGAATGATACAAAAGTATAAAAGTGAATGTTCCACTGTTAATTTGCTAGCAGTGATTAACCTTCCCTAGTCCCCTGTATGTCCATGCAGCCTTACAATACTATTTACTTTTGACTTTGGGCCTCCATGGCTGAGTGGTTAAGTTCTCTGAGTAAAAAACACTTGCCTATCACTGATGTGGGTTTGAATCCCGCCAGGGACTTTGGATTCTTTCATGTGAGGAAGCTATTCAGCTAGCTTAGGGAAGGTTGGTTATTCTATTCAGGTGCCTGAAGTAATACACAAATGGGCACATGAGGTCTACCTCCACCAGTAAAGCTGTAAAGTAAATTTAAATTTATTACCTATACAGTGTGGGTGTGACTTGTGTATTTTGATACTGCTGATTGACGGATCCAAATTCACTTAAGTGCAATTACAAATTGTCCAAAGTCTGCATATTAAAAAAACTGCATTTTTTATATGACATGACTGGATTTTTTTTTTCAGGATATTTATACCAATCCATGTAGTTTCATGCTGAACACATTTGCTCATTCCGTTTTTCCAGGATAATTATTTTTATTGTGTGAAATATGTGTTGAAGTCTTTTATACTCAAATTTTACTAACAAGTGCACTAAATATTCAATTTCAATTTGATTCTAAGTATATTTCTTAAATATCTTCTTTCTTTTTTTTAAAGTGTCTAAATTTAAAGCACTTATTAAGATATATGTATTTGCAAGTAAAGATTTGGCATGTTTTATGTTGCAAAGAATGATCATGTACAAGAAAAATCTTTGTCAACTTGACATATTGATGCTGTCACTTTATAAAATACTAAAGTCAATATTTTGTTATTTAGACATGTGCATATCTGTAAATAAAAAAAATGAAATTTTGTTGACCTGTTAATTTTATAGGAAAATTAAATAATTCAGTTTAGTCATATGAAACTTGTGAAATGTATTTACTGTAATATTTTAGATATGGCAGAATCACAGTGTCTACACTGGAGACAAACCTTGCTAGTGCAGAGAAGGACGTTACTAGGCTCACAAAAGCTCTAGAGAGATCTGATAAATACATTGAAGAACTTGAATCAGAGCTGGATGATTATCGTGGAAAATCTGGCTCGTCCAGAAGATCTGATAGAGATGACAAGCCTCTGACTAATGGTGATCTTGCAAACAGGAAGTACTCTTCAGATTCAAAAGTACCTCCACCTAGAGAGTATGGGAAAGGGGCAGATAATCAACACAGAAGACAATTGTTTTCTGATGACATGGGTGCTAAAACAAGTTCAGGTGAGAGGTCTAAGTATTACTATGATGGAAATGGGGATTATGATGATGATTACAAAAGTGATGGGAGATCACAAGGTGCTAAGATAAATGGAGAAAATGGCGGAAAGAAAAGGGTGACCTTTGACCTGAACAAAAACACAAATAGTACAATGTCATTCGACCTTGAAATGCCAAGTCCACTTAAAACTTCGGCCAATGCAAGTGGGCTTGCGAATGGAAGGGTGTCACCAGTGAAAGGTGTGTTAAAGAAAACAAACGGTGCCAGTAAAAAAGGAAGTTCTAGTGATAAATACAGTGACAGGTCTGGTTATTCCACTGACTTGTCTAAAGATTCACTATCAGACAGTTATAACCAAAAGTCAGCTGATAGGTTATCTCAGGATGATGACCTCCTTTTTCTTAAAAGTAGGTCAAGGTCATCGGGTGATAGGGACTATGAGGATGACCTTTATTCAGGTTCAAAGAAAAAGTACAGTGCAGATGACAGTGTTCTAAGTGCACCAAGTGACCTAGATTCTAAAAGGTCTCGTGATAGGGACTATTCATCTAGGTCACGATCAAGTGATTATGATAGCAGGAAAAGGTCAGATCCTCTGGACGACCTTGATGGTGAACTAAGAAGGTCAAGGGGCACAAGAGACGGACTTGGCCTTGATAAAAGTGATTTAGATGACACTCACTATATAGAAAGTGAATTGGACGAATTAAATATATCATTAACACCGGAATTTACTGATTGCATGAAAATATTAAATCGTGCTGAAAAGAATGTTCATACAAGGGACATAGACCCGGTTACTGACGATGTTCCTAAATATAGATCAACAGATACCGATATGGATACTGCGTTTAGGTCGTCTACCGGTAGTATTGGCCAGAGAAATGGAGTAGGGGACGATTTTATGTCAAACTATAAGACGGACACCAGCAAATTTACATCGTCCTTGGATAGTTATTCTCGAGGAAGACATGTAAGATCTGGGTCACTAGATAATTTATTTATTGCCGGAAATGCCGATCAGTATGAAAGACCAAGCAGTGCGCTTCCAACAACATCAAACATGTATTCAAGCAGCAATCAAAATAAATACATTGGTGGACTGACAACTGGTAGAACAACATTAACCAGGACTCCATCACTGGATAATCTAATGATGTCTCGAGGTTCAACGGGTTTCCAGAATAAATATAGTTCTGTGGATGACCCGTTAGGATTAAAGTCTAGATCCAGTTTTCCTGGGTATTTAGGCAGACGTTCATATGGTGAGGAAGAAAATAAAGTAGATGTGCCAGGTAGTGCACCGGTAACGGCCAAGCACGATATTTTAGGGTCACAGAGTTCTGGTAGCAGTGTTGGTGATAGATACAGCAGCATTGGTAGCGAGGGACGATCAAGTCTTGACACTGGTTTAGATTCACATGCACGTGGTTATTCCTCAGATAAGATGGTTTCCATGGAAATGGAAATTGGTAGAAAACTCCCACCATCTGGCCGGCAGACACCAACTCTGCCTGTCTCCAGCACTGGTAGCGACCCTGATAAGCATTACTCTTCCGGTAGAATCACACCTACCATCCCAACCCACTCTGAATATATGGCCCTCTCAAAACCTAGCACAGATAAATACACTTACACTGCTAACACTGGTTCTGGTCGCAGCACCCCTACCCTCACAAATAACACTGATTACTCCTCACTAACAAAATCAAGTGGCCCATATTCAGGCCCATCTTCCTTGCCAACAGATATGTCTCAGAAGCCACCTACTGGTTCCAGGGTACCAGATTTTGCACCAGCACGAAGCGCTACCCAAGGTTCGTACTCAAGCCAGCTACCTCCTTATCAAAGTTCGACCACATCTTACACTAACCCTGGTGATGGTTATCATAGTTTACCTAACTATACTAATTCTACTAACACGAATACTGGTGTCGGTAATGGTTATGGTGATCGGTTTGAAAACCGGACGTCTGTTCCGTCATATATGGGTCAGTCTGACTCAAATAACTATGCAAGTTCTGTAGGTGCTAGAAGTAGTAACTTTGCTAGTGATAAATTAGAGTATGGTGCCAGTTCTAACTATATACCTAACGATAAATATTCTAATAGTAAGAGTGTTTCTTCATTTAACGATGATAACTATAAAGACGGCACCGATTTTTCTAACTTTTCTACAAAAGTTGCTGTGAATAATAACATACCATTTTCTGCTTCATCATTGTCGTCACAGACTAATTTATTGTCTGCTTCCTCTGCAGGGTCATCATCATCATCACTTGGTCTGTCATCATATCCAGGACCGTCATCAGCATCATCATACCTGCCTACAACCTTGAACTCTCTGACCTCTAGTAGTTCATACTCTACCGCCCATAGTGTTCCATTGACCTTCACGACCTCATCGTACACGAGTAGTGTACCTGCTAACACGTACTCCTCTAAAGGACTTGATCCTATATCAGAGTCGGGACATTACAGCTATGTATCGAATGTTTCCGGAGATTATTCTTCTAAGAATGACACGTTTGCTCTTCCGGAACCAAAGAAAAGACTGTTTGAAAACTCGGATGATCTAGATATGTCCATGAGTCCGATCAAGTCTAATAGACGATTCTGATATTTTTGTTGACTGAGTTGTCGTACTTCAGCCAGTAATGTAGATCTTGATTTAATGTCAAGATTTGAAACTCACACCATAAAGCAGCTTGTTAAGTCTTTAAAGGTTAAAATTCTGGTTCTTCAAGAAATATTCCTAAAATAGGCTTAATTACACCATATCAGTTAAAACTGAAAACATGCAGAAAAATACATTTTGATGGTGAATTATTTTTATACCAAAAAAATTTGTAAAACAAATCATGAACATGATTATATTTATCATTTACATCCATTTAGTATCTTACTTTTTCTTAAAATGCAAAGATGGAAATTTTCTGCTGAGAGGCAAATCAGTTTGTTTTTGAGTCGTATAAGTCTTATTCTTCGCAGTTTAGTTAAGAAATTTTGCTAGTTTGTAGAATATTTTTGTTTAATAGAGGTTGAAATATTAAGGATAAGTTTCAAAGAATACCTTATTGATAATTTCATTTCCTTTCATATTTTTTATCATGAGTTACATCCCTTTGTATGTAATTTGACAGTTGTAGAAATGTTTGTTTATCAGAAGTGCTTGTATGTAAATAATATGTTAATTTATTTTATTTATGTCAACACACATCAATCAGTAATGTGCCTTCTTTTTTTGTCATGTTTGTATTTTATAACCATTTTTTGTAAATATATGAAAATCATTTTTGTATACAAAGATATTAGTTTAGTAGTCTGGTTGTAATTTATGAAGTTCTGAACTTCATAATGGTAGGAGCATTGCATTGATTATAAAGGGTTGTTAGCCAGTGAGAAAAGTTTTTATGTCAATTTTATGATGTAAAGGGATCAAATTTTCATGGGTACAAGTTTTCAGTCATTTGCCTGAAGTTTAGGTTTTTCTATTCTTGAAAGCTTTATTTTTCTAAATGAAATACTAAATTCAGCGTTTTCAGGTTTTCTGATATTTTTAACTTGCACCCATTTTGTGACCAGTTTGTGAACTTCAAAATATCAAAGACTCATAACTATATCATGATTTTTATCTTCAACTATCAGTGACTGAGAAAAGTTAAATGCGCTGTCCTACTGACATCTCTTTCTTGTTGTCATCTTTTAAGCCAATTGTATTTTCGTTACAGAATATTTTGTTTTGTGTTTTTTTTAAATAGCCAAGTAGCAGGTATTCAAATGCCAGTATTATATCATTCATAAAAAACTTAATAATCATAATAGTTATTCATACAAATGTCATTTATATATAGATCTGGAATAATTTATGCCATATTAAATTATACTTATGCAATCTAGAATATCCCATTAAGACAATAAGCTTTTCTTTGTAAATTTGTTCAATGACAAAACATTTATTACTATTCCCTCTACACTATTGAGTGGAGCGACTAATGTGGAAATGTTGACAGTTAATGGAGAGAGTTGATTTGCATATGGCACAGAATTATATGCTAAATTGATTTAATAGATAATAAACCAGACGATGTATGTAGTTTTATATAAATTTCAGGTCCAACTGAAAGTTATCGTTCATAAGTTTAAGTAAATTGCCCTGTTTTAGTATATTTTTGTTAATACAAGTATTCTATGAAATCCCATCACACGTAATTATGTTCAGAGTAACTGTTTTAGTCTTATATTTTTGTTTAGGGTGTTCAAATTCATTGAATTGTATGTCTTTTTTCAACGGTCATTAATTAGCTCGACTATTTGATAAGAATAAGTAGAGTTATTGTAGTCACCCGAGCATCTTAAGTTTTTGTAATACCTTAAATATTTTCAAAGTGTATTGACATAATTATGGCTTTGAAACTTCGCACACTTGTTCACCATCATGACCCCAACCTGTAGACAGGAGGAGGTAACTGTATCAACCATTTTGACAAAATTATGCCCCTTTTTAGACTTAGAATTTACGTTTAAGTTTTTGTAACACAAAGTCGATTGACATATGGCTTTGAAACTTTACACACTTGTTCCCCATCATGACCCCAACCTGAAGACAGGAGGAGGTAACTCTATGAAGCATTTGGCAAAATAATGCCCAGTTTTTCAACTTAGAATTTACATTAAGTTTGCATACCACCTTTTGTTAACTTAGAAAATTTTACATTATGAAGGCTCTTTTACTATCAAGCACTAAGAATGTAAGCATTGTTGCCCTTACCGGGACATTCTTTTTTTTGGATGTGATAAACAAAAAATTTTTTGGGAATACTAGTTTTTAAATTAAAAAATTTTGGGATACACAGGGTATTTTTAAAAAGGGGAAATTTGGGTTTTCAAAATAAAACTGATTTTAATTTGGGGTTTTTTTGCCCCCAATTTTTTTAAAAAATTGGGGTTACCTTTAGCAATTAAAAGCCAGGACAGCATTTAATCTTTCTCTGAAAAAGGTTTAAAAATGTTTGGTTGTTTTTATTTAGTTTTTAAAAAATTCGAAATAAACAAAAAAAAAATGCGGGATAAATCTCACAGACAATTCACAGTTTTAAATAGTAACGTTTTACAAAAAATTTTGATAGTTTTCTAAAAAAAATTGTTAATTTTTTAAAAACTTTCATTCGAACTTATCTTTGGGAAAATTGATTATTTGGTTAAATTTGAAAGAAATATAATCCTTTCATTTGTCTGTTACATAGCCATCAAATGATTTTACATTGGTTTGTTACATAGTCCTGAAACTATTTTACTTTGCTCTGTTTCATGTACCAGGGAATGATTTTACATTGGTCAGTTTCATAGCCATGGAACGATTTTACACACGTCCGTAGAAATAGCCGTGGAATGATTTTACACTGAGTCCGTAGAAATAGCCTTAGAATGATTTCTAGTTCCAATTGAAAGCAACTTAAAATGGATCAAGTCTATTTCATAGCCTTGAAAATGTTTTACAGTTCCAAATTTAATGTGATTAGCATATCACCAAGTGTATCATGTAGCAATTAGAGGTTCAAAAATTATAGAAGACCTATTGTAAATTAGGTTGTATTTCTGAGGTACAGTCAGCGGCCTAATGAACTTGTAGAATCTTATATTACTTTACATTTCTTATCATTTTGCGTTATTTTGATACTACATTATTTTGTACATAAATATTTTTGTATTTATTTTGAATCATATTTTCTTTTCTTTTTTTGAAAATAACAAGACAGATCTGTGATAGAACTTTATAATCTTTTAGAAATTTGCTTACAAAACCTGTATTATGCAATAAAAGCGTTTATATACAGTGATATTTAGTTTTGTTTACTGGTTTATCCAACTAAGTAGATTCTAGGAGTGAAGGGGGGGGTGCAGATTGTGTGGTATTTACCCAGTCCTTGTTTTACTTAGAAATGTCTAATTAACCATTGCAAACGAGAGATCTTATATTTCACTCGTACAATCAGTGCAGACATATGTGCTGCCTGATCATAATCTGCACTTTCCAGAATTCAGTCAGTATATATATTGAAAAATTTCCAAATGAAAGATAAACAAGTCTATTAAGATATTAAGCGTTGTAGTGGTTTTAATTTCAACATGCTTTGAGTCTTGGGTGTGTTTTGGTTAAGAAGCATTAGGGCACTTTTATCCCCCCAAAAAAAAAAAACTATGCCCGGGTAGAGAAACCCTTTTTGGGGGTTTTAAAAGGTAAAGTTCATCTCTATTTCTACCAATTTTCCCAAAGGAAAGGGAAATTCCCAAAATGCTTTTGCTACAGTTTTAAGTTTTTGGGTTCGGGAGGGGGTCATGACTATAGGTGACCCCGTTAATTTTTAAAGGTAAAATGTCATCAGGTTGGGCTTTTACCACAAGGTCTTCTGTCTCAGAGAAACTTTTTAACCTACTTTTCCTTTAAAGATTTAAAAACAGTGGTTTCAGGGACTAAAAGATGACCCCTTTTTTGCCGGGTCAAGGCATGGGTTTCCCCTTAAAAAATTTAAATTTTTTAACTTTTAAAAAGAAAGGGGTATTTTTTTCATGGTCATAAAATTTTTTAATGTTTTGCCCAAACTGTAGGGTTCCAATATGTCGCCCGGTGGGTTTCAAAAAAAAGGTACATATTTTTGAGGTTAGATTTAGCCCGCAATTGGGGATAGGAAAATGCTGGAAAAAAATCTTTAAATCTGTTTTAAGCTTGCGCATTGATAGCGCAATGTAGCTTAATGATTGGGTTTGCCCTTTTTCATTCTCTTTCAGTTAAATAGGAAAACTGAAAATAAATCGCAGAAAAACAGATTACAGGGTAACCAGAACAACACACAACATTTGGGGTTACTAGTAGCAGCAAATAGAAACCAGAGCAAAAAAAAACGCGACGCGGCTAAAAATTACTGGGCCCCTAGAACCATTTATTGAAAAGATTTGATCTCCTGAACCAGTGGTGGGTCATATCAAACGAGTCTGATAATTAAATTTGACCTCTTAATGTTAACACTAACAAATAAGGGGTCCACCAGAATTAAAAAATTAAAGATGAATTGACGTGAATCATTAGAACGGTGTAATTTAACTTTGCTTTGTAGCCATCAAGTATTTTTAAACAAATTTTCATAGGCCCTTAATATTCTGGACCCTTTATAACTATTAATAGCAAAACCTTGAAAATTATGGCATAAAATTATGTTGGCGTATTGAACCTACTGTAGTGTGATAATAGAACCGTTTTAATGCTTGTTTCTGAAAAATCGTTAACGTTTAACGCGCTATCGCCGTTGGGCTTGATTAAAACCTCATTTAATTTTGTTCACCAAATGTCTGATACAGACAGTGGACGTTTGAAAACGCCGTTGTTATTATAAACATCTAAGTAACACCATTATTCCACCAATACTTACGCCATTGCAAAACCGTTGCCTTTAATGATATGACCTGGACGTTTGAACGGCCGTTGTTATGAAAATCCATTAAACGAACCCGCCATTATTTCCCGAACCCCAATACTACGCCATATGCCAACCATGGTATACAAGACGCTGCGTTTGAACGCCGGGTTTGTTAGATAATACTTTAAGGGTTCAACGTTTTTCCCGACCTCATAGGGGAATTAAAGGTGTTGGTTTTAAATACTAAAATTTATTGAACGATTTTGGAAAAAAATCTATGCGAGCCTCGGGCGAGCTTTAAATATTTTTTTAATTCAACGAGTTAAATAAATTTAGTTTTAATCTACCCCGAATATAATTTCTTTTTTAATCACATATATAAAAAAAGAACTTTAAACTTTTAACAAAAAGTCATTTCTTTGACGCCCTATAGGGGAACGCAAAAAGGGGCCGCTTTAACGCAAATGTTATAGGGGGAAAAATGCCCTTTGCTAAAAGGTTTTAACATAGTCTTTTCCCAAAAAAAGGGGAAAGAACTTTTGCCTGGTTTATATAAAAAATTAATTAAAAAATTTAATTTTTTTTGAAAACCAAAAAAAAAGTCACCCTTTTCGAGATTTTTCAGGATTTTTACTCTTAAAAAATGTCTTACTTTTCTTGTGAAAGGCGAATTTTTGATTCTCTATGGAAAATCTTTCTGTTGTTTATTTTCCGTACCATTGCCGAAGTACTCCTTCATTTGAAGGGATGAACGGGAAAGAAAGCACGTGTTCATGTTTCTAAAAATATACAGAGGTTCTCGGGGTCGTTTGCATGATTATTTTACAAAGCTGGAATCTACAGAGATGTAGGGCAGTTTTGTTGCAATGCCATGATGAAAAAACTTAAAAAAAAAAGAAAGAAAAATAAGCAACCAAGAACACCGAGTCAAATGGATAAAATATCTAGAAACAGTCTGTGGAAAGTCGTCGTCCTCGGTCCTGGCTGAATAAAAAACTCGTGCGGTCCGGAAAAATTTCTTTCCGTCAGTCCCATGTCCGAATAAAATTCCAAAAAAGTTAAAAATATCAATGACCTGATGAAAACAAGTTCCCGGTGTTGTTTCAAAGAATTTATTTAAAAAGAAGATATTGACCACCTCAGATCTATTTTGTACATGTCAAATAAATACCAGTCAACTCTGTCTTCAAAAAGTTCATGTCAACAACTGGTAAATTTGCCGTAAACTTACAGATTTGAAATTTTGTTTTATGATGCTTGTTGAAATAGCCGATTAGTAAACATCTTAAAATAATCAAAAAATATTAAT